TTATTGAGTAATTAGGCTCTACTAGTTTATCTTCCACATACATACAAAAATATGTTCACAGTTTATGTGAGATCCAAGCCATTTTGCCTTTTAAATCCCTCAGAGTTCCTGAGAGTTCCATTATGTCTATGTACTTAATTGCAAATTTTTATTTTGTTTTTTTGTTTTCTGTTTTAGTTTGCCCCTATGTGTACCAGAATCAAGGCTGCCTAGTTTGAGCCTGATAGAATTGACTTTGCAAGTGAGACCTTTAAAAATCACATCTGCCAAGAAGTATGATTTGAGTGAAACGTAAACTTACACAAGCTTTCATATTTATTTAACCTAATTTATCAGCTGTCTTACTCATAACCTAAGTGGTGCATGGCTTTGAAGGGGAGGGGTAAGAACTGCATGTCTTAGAAACTCTGAGAACCTACTGTATAATCAGAGCTGTGAAATCATTCATGTGCTGGAAGCCTTAAAGAATAAACCAGGGACTTTGATATCATGCAACAGAAGACCAAATTATTTCTCCAAGCCTTGAAGTATAGTTTTCCTCACCTTGGGAAATGCATGCAGAAACCACGTTCAAATCACTGTAACTTCACTGATCATTATTACAATAGAATAAAATTGAAAAAATATCACCTAACCAAGTGTCTGCAGAATAAACCCAAGATATCAGAGTTAGCAAGAAACATCCCAAGTCGGAGCTTCTCATGTAAGGTATGAACTGTTTAAATTAACCTATTTCTAGGTCACTAAGATTGGTTTTAGTTTAAAAATAAGGAATGGGTAGTGTATCAGAGTTACTCATTTTCTCATTAATTTTAACTTGATTTTTAAGATTTTCAGGCCCAATTATTTATAGTCAAATGTAAGTATAAAATACACACACACTCACAGAATCTTCAAAAAGTTCATGAAAAATTGCATGGATTTCAAAAATTGTACACCAAAATAAACTTATACTTCTGTGCCATTTTCTGCAAGCTGTTGGAAGTCCCCTTATATTTATACAGCTCTAATGTAGATTTACAGAAAGTGATCCAGCTGGAGATCTCCTCAGTGTGCCTGCCAGTGCATTTCATAATAAAATTCAGCTTTCTGAAATACCTGGAATACCAAATGAAAGTTCTTAATCAAATTTAATAATAAACTAATTGCTTTATTAATTCCAAATCAGTAAATTTCATTAAATATGTAACTGTATGCTATTTGTATGTTAAAAAAAATAAAAAAGAAAAGTAAAAAATCTCATTTTCAATTGCTTACATCCTTCAGGAAGATCTCTCAGGCTGTTATACTACATCCAGACCTTAAACTGAAGCCATGGGCACGAGGTCAGCCTTGAGGACCTGATTGTCCTTATATGTAGAGTGGCTGCAGATCCCAGTTTGCCTGGGACAAGCCCAGTCTCCACCTGTTGCCCCTGTGTAATTATGAATAGTGTCCTCTTTTCTTTCAAAAGTGTCAAGGTTAGGCTAGCAAATTATGTGATCATTCCACTTGTTTGAAATTAAGCTATTTACACTTCTGCCTCTTTGGCATACCTCACCTTCCTTTTACTTGCTATGCATCTTGGGTTCCTTAAATTATATTTGGGGATGATATCCTTATAATATTTTAGCGTATTTTATGATTTCAATGTTTTAATTTTTTGGTTTGAATTGTTTCATTGCGCAATGATTTTTATTTTAGTCTGCTTAGCTTTCCCTTATAGTGGTAAAATATATACAACATAAAATTTTTCACTTCTGCCATTTTTAAGCTAAGAAGTAGTGGCATTAATTACACTCACAGTGTTGTGTACTGTCACCACTATTTCCAAAACCATGTCATCATCCAAAAACGTATGCATTAAAGAGTAACTTTGCACTGTATGTTTCTCTTTCTAGTACCTCATATCTACTTTCTGGTTTTATGAATTCGCCTGGTTTTGATATTTCAGTTAAGTAGAATGATAAAATAGCCTTTCATGTTTGGCTTATTTCATTTAGCATAATGTCTTCAAGGTTCATCCATGGCATAACACATATCAGAACTTTATTCTTGTTTATAGTAGAATATTCCTTTGTATATATTATATAAACCACATTTTGTTTATCCATTCATATGTTGATAGATGCTTGGGCAGCTTCTGTTTTTGGAAACTATCTTTTTAATCTTGTGTTACCCAATTTTTCTAGTTTTTATTCAGCTTTTGCTCTCCCTTTAACTCATACCTGTGTGGTATATGTGTTTGTGTTTCTTTTGGTTTGAACTTGTCTTTTAGCCCACTGATCTTCCCAAACTTTTATGCTTTGGTTTTTCAAATCATTTTCCTTTGTTATTGTGTCTTGGTTTAGTTTAGTATTTTGGTTGTTAATTTACTCAGAAATATTTTTTTATTGGCAGGATGTGCACATGCCTACCAGAATGAAAGGGGAAAGAGAGAGAAAGCACCCCTGATGGGGCATAGTCACACAGCAGTTTCTTTTACATTTCTCCATCCTGTCAGGATTTGGGGCACACACATGCCCTGTGTTTTTCAAGTTACCAGGGCTAGGATTTGAACCATAGTTGGCCATGTGGGACCCTATACCCCATACACAACACTGTACCACTGTGCTGCAGAACAGTCTATACTCAAACATTTTTATATCTGTATTTTTATAGCCTTATCTTACTTTAGAAAGATATAATTTAAAATTTTACCTATTGAACTAGATTTTGAATGTTTATTCATTTTATTTTACATTGGGCTTAGAACATTTTGACAGCTTGTACTTTCCTTGGAACTCCTTTAGTTTATAAATAGTAGGCAGGAGTTACCGTCAGGGTGGCAGCTGTGAGATTAGCTCACACCCTAAACAAGAAGCTATTTTTTCCCTCCATTTGTTCCTAAAGGAACTTTTCAATTCTCTTTCATAGATCTCCACTTACTAGAAACTCTAACCTCACTCAGTGACTCTAAGAAGAGGAGCTCTTTTAATAATTCTTTTTTCTGATAAATGGCCCACTTTGATCTGTTGTATATGACCATTCCCTCTGTGAGAAATTATATGCCCTGAAACCTGTGATCTTTATCTTTTATGATCACAGAGACCTGGGGAAGCCTTAGAAAGATACCCTTGCAGCTGCAAAGAGACCTCTAAACAAGAATGCACGTTTTCTTCTTTCAGCAAGCATCCACTGAGTTCAGCTTTGTCCGTTCTTACAAATCACAACAAAATATTGTAGAAAAAAATAATGCTTAAAGGAAATTAAAATAGATCTGTGTAAAGACCTATGGCCTACTTAAGTTTACTAAAGAACAAGGGAAGGCAGAATGTGTAACAAATGCCAGGAGGCAAAAGATCTATCCACGACTGGTGTGACTGAACACTAATCACAACTCTTACTACTTTTCCTAACTGGAGAAACATAAAAATAGGGAGTTTCAACTTGGTGTTCTTTAAAAGTTATCTGGATATTGGGATCAGCAGATGGCATAATGGTTACGTCACTGGACTATCACATGGTCGACCTTAGTTTGAGTCCCCAACCCAGCAACTTAAACTCATTCCATGAGCTTGTGCATGCATGCCCAAGATCCCGAGAGGAGAATGGAGGAGAAGGGATTGCAGCGTGGCCATACCCCTGGGGGATGATTTCTCGCATTCTGTTAGGGTTAGGGTTAGGGTACAGTTCACACTTGGAATATCTGCAAAACTACTTCTACATAATCTTGTTCTTTATCTTTTGGGCTCATCTGAGCGTTTTGGCTACACTTCTATTGACAGTTTATGTCCTGATTAAATGTTACCAAGAGGGCATTTCTGACCATTGAAAACAAAGTAACTTCTCAGGAGCAGTAATCATGTAGTGACAAATAGGATTAGAGAATAGTCTGTGAAGGTTAAGGTAAAAGTACAAGATGGCAAAATGTTTTAAACACAATGCCAAGTAAAATGATTAAACATCCAAAATTTAGTTCAATAGGGAAATTTTACATTTTATCTTTCTAGAACAGGGTTCTTTACATGGCCTGTGTCTTTCATATATGCTGTAGATATCTTTTCCATACTCATCCTATGTCTTTTGAGTTTATGATTTTTTGTTAAATAAGATTGTGAAATTTTATGTTGAATACATTGTTTTATTCAACTCAGCAAATATCCCTTTAACACCTACAATGTACAATTCTAGGCAGTGGGGACATAGCAGCAAACCAAATACAAATCCCTACCTTCATGGAGCTTATCATCCTACTTGGCTGGGGGAATAAGTATATGAGTGAAATACAAAGTATGTCAGAGGTGATAGGTACAGCGAAAAATAAAATAGAATTGGGAAGGGATGAATAAGAGATGTGGGACAGAGAGTGTTATTGGAATGATAAGGGAAGGCCTAGCTGAAAAGTGACATTTGAGCAGTAGCTTGAAGGATTGCGTTATATGTCAGCTTCTCCCTCTATTAATGATGCTAGTAAGTTTAATCATTTTGATTAAAGTGATACCTGCTAGTTTTCTCCATTGTTAAAGGGTCCTTATTCCTTTTGCAATTAGCATATGATCCATAGGGTAATACTTTAGTACTTTGTGTCTAGCATTTTGTTTTTCACTTAATGAGTTTAGCTACCATTGTTGATCTTTACTAAATGATTATAATCTAACTCTATTATTCTTTCTACATTTATTAGCTGTTGGTATTCTTTTTTTTTTTTTTTTTGGAGAGGTTTTTGCTATAGGGCGTGTGCACTCGCCAGACAGACAGAGAGAGACAGAGAGACAGAAAGCGAGAAATCACCCCCCGGGGGGATGGTCACGCTGCAATCCCTTCTCCTCCATTCTCCTCTCGGGATCTTGGGCACGCACACACACGTGCCCGGCGTGAGTTTTAAGCCACCGGGTCCAGGACGCGAACCGCGGTGGACTACGTGGGAGTCCAGCGACATAGCCATTACAATGCTAACTGCTGGTTCCCTTAGCTGTTGGTATTCTGTCAAAAGAGATTCCTCTTGTTGGTTCCTCTTCATTTTTTGATTTAGGTTTGGTGGGGCTTTTCTGTTTGTTTTTCAGTGCTTATGTTTTGTTATTGTTGTTGTTTTTGGACTTTTTTTAGTACGCTATAATCAATTACAATCATTATTCTTTTTTATGCTTCAGTTATCCCAAATATGGCCAACAAGAACCCCTTCACACTGGTTTTTGTGTTCTTTTGACATGCCTCTATTAATCTTTCAGCATTTCCTTTCTTTGTGGCCAAGATTTCACAAGTCTACCCTGTATTCTCTTGACCACAGACTTGGAATTAGCTGTTAATGGCACTGTCTTGACTAAAAGGCTATCTAGTGTCTTTCTACTCTGTCGTTTTTCTGTTGTTAAAGGTCAGCATTTTTGCCACAATAAAGTTACACATTCCAGGGACCAGCCATTGGCGTAATGGCTATGTTGCTGGACTCCCATGTAGGCAACTGTGGTTCGAGTTCTGGACCCAGTGGCTTAAACTCACGCCAGGCGCATGTGTGTGCGTGCCCAAGATCCCGAGAGGACAATGGAGCAGAAGGGATTGTGGCATAACCATCCCCCCAGGGGATTGATTTCTTGCTTTCTGTCTCTTTGTCTCTCTGTGTCTTTCTGGCAAGCACATGCGCCCTATAGCAAAAACCTCTCCCCCCCCCAAAAAAAAAAAAGTTACATATTCCATTTTTTAATTTTATAACAATTTTCATTGTCAGAATGGTTTTGTGGTAGGCCACAGGTAAGACAGGAAGAAATGCTACTTTTTTCCACTAATGGAATGATACTGTACATGTAACCTTCTTAAAATTTAAAGTTAAACCATCCTTACTTTAGCTCCATTAGGTAGTACATGCCCTTGAAACAACTAGACTGTTAAAGAATTAAGATGCTTGGCTGAAATGGATAGCTTTAACTGAGTTCACTAATAATGCCAGCTGGAACTAGAATGAAAGCTTAAAATATTCAGTGGGTTTTCTTGGGACAAGACAAAAACAAAAAGCAATTTTGAGCACTTTGTGGATCTTCTGTAAAATCTCAGTTTCCATGGGAGTAATTCCTCCTGAAGAATTATTAACAAAGCTATTCTACTTCGTGTCATTAAGGCAGCCAAAAATTCTATTGCTTCCAGAGTCATTTTGGTTCATATAAGCTCAGTTTATTTGAATTTATGATACAAGAATATGTCATGCATGTAAAGTAGAGGCAGCCCCATAGCATAGTGGTTAAGGGAGCTAGATCCCACATGGCCGTCCACAATTCAAATTGCAGCCCCACCAGCTCGTAAAACACACTGAGCATGTGTGTGCAAGCCAAAAATCCTGATAAGAAGGAGGAATGGAGGAAAACAAGATTGTAGTGGGACCACACCCCATTGGAGGGATGATTCTTGACTTTCCTTCTCTCTCCCTAGTGAGTGCATGTGCCTTCTGGTAGTTAAGGAAGGAAGGAAGGTAGGTAGGTAGGTAGGTAGGTAGGTAGGAAGGAAGGAAGGAAGGAAGGAAGGAAGGAAGGAAGGAAGGAAGGAAGGACAAACGAACTGTAAAGTAAATGTAAGGAAGAGGACAAGTATTGTCCTCTGTTTTACTTGCTTTTAGCTGTGCATTATCCACAGCTCTCAGTAAAAGTGGGTCTTAAAAGTGGCAGAAGGGCCAGCCCATGACCTGGTGGATGAGGCAGCTGGATCCTACATAGCCAACCACGTGGTTTGAGTCCCAGATCCAGCACCTTGAAAAAAGCACTGGGCCACATATGCATGTGTACCCAAAATCCCGAATGGAGAAAGAATTGGAAGAGAAAGGATTGCAGCATGACTGACCCATGGTGGGGTGCTTTCTTACTTCCTCCTATGAGTACACCTGCTCTTCCCTCTGGCAAATTAAGTGGCAAAGGGCTGGGCCTGTAACACATCCCATGTTTGTGGAGCTGGATCTCACATGGCCAACTGCAGTTCAAATCCCAGTCCCAGCAGCTTGAAGAAAAAATGGTTCTCTCTCACTCTTTCTCCATTTAATCTGTTTTAATGATTTTCCACTTTATACTTATGTTTAATTTTAGATTGCTAACTCTGTAACCCTGTCATCCCTTGGTATCCCTGGGAGATTGGTTCCAGGAACCTCTTCAGATATCAAAATCTACAGACTTTCAAGTCCCTTATGTAAAATGGTGTAGTATATGCATATAACCTCTACACATACTTCCATATACTTTACGTTATCTTTAGATTACTTGTAATACCTGAAACATTGCCTACATATCACTTCAGTTGCAAGGATTAAGTGTAGTACTCAGCATGTAGCAAATTCAAGTTTTTTGAAATGTTTTTTTTTTTTTAATTTTTATTGCCACAGGTGCATGCGCTTGCCAGAGAGAGAAGGCTCCTGCCAGTGGAGTGTAGTCAAGCTGCAGTCCTTTCTCCTCCATTGTTTTTCTTATTTTTTTAAATGTTGCCAAAGGATGTGTGTGCTGGCCAGAGACCGGGAGAAAGCAACCAATGCAATGGGGCATGGTCATACCCTCTCTATTTCTTCATTCTGTTCGGATTTGGGGCTTGCACACACACTCACCGGCATGTTTTTCAAGCCACGGGGGCAGGGTTCTAACCATCATCAGCTTGGCCATGTGTGATCCGGCTCCCATTGCACATCACTTCCCTGCACTAGGGGGATGGCCCCAGAACTCTTTTTTGTAATATTTTAATCTGCAGTTGGTTGACACCACAGATGTGGAACCTGCAGATAGGAAAACAGACTGCATAAACTATTTATAGCTTACATTCTCTACAGTGTTGGTAATGTATGATGGATGTTCTTGTGCAATAAATATTTACCAGCTGTTGGAGGTCCTTAGCAAAGGCTAAGTGCCCCTCTGGCACAAGTCACTGTACAGCTGTCATCCTTGACGTAGAACTCAAGTTATAAATCTTGGCTAGAATTCTCTTCCTTAAACAAAGCAAACCAGTAGAATGTTGAATTATTAAACACTTTTATTTGACAACTGAGGTATTGTCTTATCCAAATTTTAATGATTTATATGATATTATTTGCTCTCCATATGTCTCTTAGCTTATTAATACTCCCAGTGAGATATAGCGAGTGTTTATTTAGCTTTCATTTGTATCTCATGTTTATTAAATTTTCATTATTCTATCTTATTCTTCCTACATAAAGTGAATATGTTATTCTTTTCCTTAAACTGAAAAAGAAGCTTTAATTTACAAGGGATTAATTTACCTTTTGATCTGATTAATAGTCCTTTTAGGGGATTATTTATCCCTATGAGAGAAGAAAATGATGGTTAATGAAGGAGGCCAAATTTGTTATAACTTCAGATGTGAATAAAATAATAATGAGCACTTATTAGTAAAGATGTCTTTCCTACCTTTGACATTCTCCTCCTTTTATATGTTGTTTCAGTACTTATAAAACTCAATAGCTGGGGCCAGCAGGTGGCATAGTGGTTAAAGGCACTGGATTCCCACATGGCCGACCATGGTTTGAGTCCCAGATCTGGTGGCTTGCTTTCTCACTTTCTCTCTCTCTATCTCTCTATCTCTCTCCGGTCAAATTAAATAAATAAAATAATTATTTAAAAAACCTCAATAGCCTTTTTTTTCCTACTTCTCATTCCTAACTATTATTAAATATGAAAAAGTTCATATGATTTCCTTTTCTCTTAGTTGAGTATAAATCTTTTTTTAAGAATTGTTTTATTAGTACCAGCAGTTAGCTTAATGGCTGTGTCGCTGGACTCCCACATAATTGTCCGCGGTTCGAGTCCCGGACCCAGCGGCTTAAACTCACACCGGGCGTGTGTGCGTGCGTGCCCAAGATCCCAAGAGGAGAACAGAGGAGAAGGGATAGCAGAGTGGCCATCCCCCCTGGGGGGTGATTTCTTGCTTTTTGTCTCTCTGCCTCTCTCTCTATGGCGAGTGCATGTGCCCTATAGCAAAAACCTCTCAAAAAAAAAAAAGAATTGTTTTATTTAACTTTATTTATGTATTTAAATTTGACCAGAGAGAGACAGGATGTGCATGCACATGCGCACGTGCACGAGAGAGAGAGAGAGAGGAAAAGTGAGAGAGCAAGCTGCCAGGTCCAGGAGTCAAACCACAGTCAGCCATTTGGGAATCCAGTGCCCTTAACCACCATGCTACCTGCTGGCCCCAGAGTATAAATCTTTCCCATAGTATTTCTGAACATTCTCTAGAGCATCTTAATACTTCTGTATCTTAAGAACTTATCTCTTTAACAGTATAACCATCAACTGTTTACTCTTCTTTGTTTTTATTTTTTTAATGAAAAGCAAGAGATTGTTGTATTGGTGAGCTTAAGAAAGAATATTAAAGGTCAGTGAAACACATATTACTCTATAGTTATAGGCCTCACATTCTTGAGAAGGAAAAAAGAATTACCTGTAAAAAGCAAAGGATTTTTTTCTCTAGTTTGAAGTATTTTGATCATACCATTATAACTTTTTCCAGGACCTTCTGCCTGTTAAACAAGAAAACAAAAAATCCTTTTCAGAAAACATGGATGCATTTGAAAAAGTAAGAACAAAATTGGAAACACAGCCACAAGAAGAATATGAAATCATCAACGCAGAAGTAAGATACCTTATATCCTTTTTGTTTTTAATTGGATATTATTAATGTGCAAATAAGATGCTCTGTGATTTATGGACATGATCCCACTTGAAAATTGTACTGTTTTAGCCTTCAGAATATGCTGAAAGGCACTGTAAAGTTATATATGATTCAATGTAATATAAACAAGATTATGATAATAATAAATAAAAGAAAAAAAAATGCTGAAAGGGCCAGCCTGTGGTATGGTGTTTAAGGGAGCTGGATCTCACATGGCCAACTGTACAGTTCGAATCCTGGACCCAGCAGATTGCAAAATACTCCAGTCATGTGTGCCCAGAATCCAAAAGGGATTGAGAAATGGAAGAGAAGTTTACAGAGTAAACACACCTCATTAGGGGATGTGTTCTCCTTCTCCCTCATTCTCTGACAAGCACACATACTCTCTGGTAAATTAAGAATAAATACATATTTAAAGAGCTATAAATAAGCAGAGTGTAATCCTTAAATTTAAAGATCAAAACTTAAAATGAATTTCCAAGCATAATTCTGGTTTTAGAGAAAAAACAGTTCTGATTTTTCTTTTTTTTAAGAGAGATTTTTGCTGTAGAATACATGTGCTCAACAGAGAGACAGACTGCATCCCCAGGGGGGATGGCCGTACTGCAATCCCTTCTCCTCTGTTCTCTCGGGATTTTGGACACACATGCTCACACACCCAATGTGAGTTTTAACCAGCCAGGTCTGGGACTCAAACTGCAATCAACTACATAGGAGTCTAGCAACTTAACTGCTAAGCCATCTGCTGGTCTCCAAAACAGTTCTGACTTTAAGAAAGATTCCTAGGAGAAGTTCAAATGTAACTAATTCATATATTTTTATCATTTCAAAAATATTTGAGGGGGCCAGTAAATGGCATTGGGGATAAGGTGTTGTACTCCCACATGGCTACCACAATTTGAGTCCTGGACCTGGTGGCTTGAAAATTACACCATGTACACGTGCATGAGTGAGTGCCCAATATCCCAGGAAGAAAGTAGAAGAGAAGGGACTGTGGTATGGCCATCCCTCTGGGGTGATGTCTCACTTTTCCTCTCACCGTCTCTCTCTGTTCCTCTCTGGTGAGCACACATGCCCTATAGCAAAATCCTTTTTAAAAAAAGTATTTGATTGCTCTGTCTACATTTTTTTAATAAAAAGAAGTTCACTTTAAGTAGTGTAATACCATGAAAGCCAAGTATTATATCATGTTATGAATACTACAGTCATAAATATCTAATATTTCTGAAATAGATTGAGCATACATATTAACATTTTTTCAGGGCCAACAGATGGTGTGGTGGCTAAGGTGCTGGACTCCTACATGACCAACTCTAGTTTGGCTGGATGCACTCATGCCATTTGCACATGTGTGCATGCCCAAAATCCCAAGAGGAAAATGGAGAAGAAGGGATTATGGCATGGCCATTTCCCCTAGGGGGTGGTTTCTCACTCTTCCTCTCTGTCTCTGGTCTCTCTTCAGCAAGTGTGCATGACTTATGGCAAAAACCTAAAAAAGTAATAATAATAAGTTTTCAATAGGATTGGAAAGCAGAACCACAGATTATATTAGGTTGTTGAGAAAGTCATGATGTGCTTTTGCATATAAAAATACATCATGAGGGACCAGCAGTTGGCATAATGGCCGTGTCACTGGACTCCCATGTAGTCAACTGCTGTTCAAGCCCAGACGGAACCAGCAGCTTAAACTCACGCCAGGTGCCTGTGCATGTGTGCCCAGGGTCCTGAGAAGAGAATGGAAGAGAAGGGATTGCGGCGTGACCATCCCCCTGGGGAGTGATTTCTTGCTTTCTGTCTCTCTGTCTCTCTCTGTCTTTCTGGCGAGCACACGTGCCCTATAGTAAAAACCTCTCCAAAAACAATTTAAAATTAAAAAAAAAAAAAAAACCATCATGACTTTCCCTGCAATCTAATAAATAAAAATATATATAATAAAAATATATATAAAATATATATATAATAAAAATTAAAAATCAGGAATTCCAGATTAAAATCATGCCACAAACTTGCAGATAATAAATGTGTCATAAGCTACCTATCAGTCAATCAATTGCCTTTAATATATAGGCATTGGACAAAAGCATTGTTTATGGCAATATTTATTCTCTCAAACTCCATTGTGTCTGTTTTGTCACCCCACAGAGGGTAGGATACTTGGTATAATGTCAAGACTATGCACAGTTGGTAGTAATAGTATATTTTAAATGAAAAACTCAAAGTTACTGACTGGATTTTCAGGCTAGTCTGAAACACTGTTTCCTCATCTATGTCATTTTAGATTATCTTTAAAATGCCACTTAATCCCTGTACAGATATCAGATGTTCCTGAGATAGAGCTAAAGTGGTTTGTACAGCTATGCAAAGTGACATAGAACTCATTACGTCTTTTCTTTATTGCCTTTTTTCTACTGTATTATAAACCCCTCCAGTGACTGTAAACATATGAAAACCATATTGTACTCACTGTGTTGTAAAAAGTGGTCCATTTTGGGGGCCAGCACATGGTGAAATGGTTATGTTGCTGGACTCTCATGTAGCTGACCACAGTTCAGGTCCTGGACCCGGCAGCATAAAACTCATACTGGGCACATGTATGTTCGTGCCTTAAATCCCAAGAGGAGAATGGGGAAGAAGGGATTGCAATATGGCCATTCCCATGGGGTGGGAGGGGGAGTGATTTCTCACTTTCTGTGTCTCTGGCAAGCGCACGCTCCCTATAGCAAAAATCTCTCAAAAGTGGTCCGTTTTGTATTTATGTGTTCATCTGTATACTTCAGCAAGTCAGCAGGTCTCGTTACTTCATCTTAAAAAGTCAGACCAATGGGGCCAGCAGGTGACATGGTAGTTAAGGCACTGGATTCCCACATGGCCCACTATGTTTCAAGTCCTAGACCTGGCGGCATGAAAATCACAACAAATAAATACATAAGTATTTTTAAAAAAGAGACAATAAAAGATTCATTTATTATTATTAAATAAACCATTTGTTTCTTTTCACCGTTAGATTAAGCATGGTGGTTTTGTTTATTATCAAGAAGGTTGCTGCTTGGTTCGTTCCAAAGATGAAGAAGGTAAAAAATTTTCCTTTTAATATGCAGATTTCACATTTTTATAGGAAATTTGTTGTCAAAGGTATAGAAAAGATTTCTTTAAGATTATTTCTGAGTGAGACCAGCAGTCAGCCTAATGGCTATGTCACTGGACTCCCATGTAGTCAACCACGGTTCAATTCCTGGACCCGGAAGCTTAAACTCACGCTGGGCACATGTGCGTGTGTGCCCAAGATCCCAAAAGGAGAATGGAAGAGAAGGGATTACAGCATGGCCATTCCCCCTGGGGGGTGATTTCTCACTTTCTATCTCTCTGTCTCTCTCTGTCTTTCTGGCAAGCGCACGCGCCCTATAGCAAAAATCTCTCAAAAAAAAAAAAAAAGAAAGAAAGAAAAAAGAAAAAAAGATTATTTCTGAGTTGTTTTTGATGACTAGTTTTTAATATTTGGACTTGCTTTAGATATAGTTAATAGCTACCCCAAAAGTGTAGCTTTGGCATGTAAAATGAACTGGGATCTGGCATTTTTTGAGGATCTACTATGTCTCAGGTTCTATGTTAGGCACTTTACGTGTATTAGTCAATGTCATTTATATTCTCATACTTTCTAGGTTCTTTATGGCCTATCAGTATATAAGCTGTCACTCTTATCAATATCTCATAAGTTGTTGCATACAATAGCTTTGACTAGGGCAGGATAATATTGAATAACTGATACCAGTTTTTGTACATGTAAGTCAAGCCACCACCATTGTTGAAGGAAGCCAGAATGTGGCCTCTTCTATAAGGGTAATGCTAATTTATATCACTGAAGTACCATTACTAAAAATTTTAAGTACATATGAGAGAGTTATCTTTTATGTTTCTTTATGCAGCAGACAGTGATAATTATGAAGTTTTATTCAATCTGGAGGAACTTAAATTAGACCAGCCTTTCATTGATTGTATCAGAGTTGCTCCAGATGAAAAATATGTGGCTGCCAAGATACGAACTGAGGATTCTGAAGCATCTACCTGTATAATTGTGAAGCTCAACGATCAGCCTGTAATGGAAGCTTCTTTCCCAAATGTGTCTAGTTTTGGTAAGCTATCAGCCAAAATGGTCTTCTGAGTTTAAAGGCAACAATAAGAAAACTGTCCACACTTTTGCAGTTCTTTAACCCATGTGAAATAGTTATAATTAAAGTCCAAGTTATACAGTACATTTTGATATATCAGTAATTCTTTTATTTAGAATAAGTTTTCTCACATTAAGTATACCTTAATATTTTATTCAATTTTAAGTTTAGATATGTTTTTAAAATTCCATGTTATCTTAAGAGAGTTATTATAGTGAATTGCCTAGAGTCACTATTGAGGAACTTTGGGATGTTTGTTGAATTAATTTATTCATTGGTGGAAGCTGTGACTTTTTAAATAACAGAATCAATTTTATATTTTATCATTTTTCATCGAATGGTACATATGTTCATACTTTATTCTCCCTTTCCATTTTCTACTATATTCTCCCTATTGTTTATATTCTTATGCAATGACTTGAAATTATGCCCTATGCAATGGATTCTAAAATGTACATTTTAACCTCTAAAATCAGTATACATACTGTACAGTGATGACGTAAAATCACAATCAGCCAGGTGGAAGTCATGATATAATTGTGTGCCAACTTTCACTGGCAGCTTCTGGTGAAATAAGAACCAGCATTAAAATGTACTTAGTACTTTATCTGTGACTTAAGAGCAGACAGAGAAGATTTAGTCATGAGGGAAAGTGAACCAATATTTCTTAAGACTTAAAGTTGCAAGTTATACACTTAAACATAACTCATTTCCTAAGAAATGTGACTTCACCAACATCCTTTCTAAATATTGAGCCAGCAGGGGGCATGGTGGTTAGGGCACTGGACTTCCACATGGCCAACTGTGGTTAGAGTCCCAGACTTGGTGGCTTGCTTTCTCTCTCTCTATCTCTATCTCTCTCTCTCTCTCACGTGCCCTGTAGCAAATTAAAAATAATAATAATGATAAATAAAATAAATAATTCTTTAAAAAAAAAGAGAGAGAGAGAGAAAAGAAAAGAAACTTAAGTATCCTGAAATTAAGAACTACTTGAAAATTTGGAACTGATGCAGAAATGTTTTATTTTCTGGAGAGCTCTCTGGCTTGTATGTAACACAGGTTAGAAACAATCAAAAGTAATGTTATTTAGATTTCCAGGGATAAACTTACACATCTCTTCTCTTTTACACTCAAAATAACAGTGGCATGGAAGTTAAAGCAACTAGATCCTACATTGCTGACTTTACAGTTCAAGTTCCAGACCTAGTGGTTTGAAAAACACACCAGGTGCATGTGCATGCATGCCCAGAGCCTGAGAAGAGAATAAAGAAGCGATTGTGGTGTGGCCATCCACCGTGGGGGTGATTTCTCACTTTTCCTTTCTCTCTGCCTCTGTCTTTCTCAGGCGAGCACACATGCCCTATAGCAAAAAAATAAAATAAAATAAAAGAATGTGCTATATCTTTTTTTTTTTTTAACTGCATGTAGGTAAAACTCTTAAATTATTTTCTTTCAGAATGGGTAAAGGATGAAGAAGAGGAAGATGTTTTATTCTACACCTTCCAGAGGAATCTACGCTGTCACGATGTGTATCGAGCCACTTTTGGTGAAAACAAACGTAATGAACGTTTTTATACAGAAAAAGACCCGAGGTACTAGAATGATACAGTTAAGTCTATTTTTCCAGAATGTTTCTCCAGTTACTTAAAGTTTTGACGTTGATTGACTTAAAATGTTGTTTTTGATTGGAATCAGACATAAGACTATCATATTCTTTTATTAGTTGTTTGTGTTCAAAGTTGGAGTCTGATTATATTCGAATTTCAAAGTATGCCCAAATAACATCATTAGACTGCAAATGCTGAGTTAGCTGTCATTCTGTCAGGACTGTGATGCACAAAGAGGAGTAGTTAATTAAACCTCTTAAAAATTTTTTTGCTAGAGGGTATATATGCTCACTGCAGGGAGAGAGAAAGAGAAAGACGGCATCTCCCATGGGAGATAGTCATGCTGCAATCCCTTCTCCTCCATTTCTCCTTTCAAGATTTTTGGCATGCACCTAGCGAGTTTTTCAAGCCACTGGGTCAAAGACTCAAACTTTGTAGTCAGTCATGTGGGATCCAGCACCTTAATGTCTACACCAGCCAATGGTTGTTAATTAAAAAAAAAAAAAAAAAGTCAGGTTAATGATATTACTAGGAGGGTTTATCTTCTTGTCATTCTATTTTGTTGTATAAAGTAGGATAAAAGGGGGAAAAAAGAAACCCAAGGTGCATACAGAGAAAGAACATGTGTCCTATGCATTCTTTTCTTTCTGTACTATTTCATACCTCCTGGAGAAAGTTCATTTCCTCTCCTCAGCAAAAAGCCTTATAATTCCTTAGTGCGATAAAATGAGAGGTGATATCTGTGGTTTACCTTGGTGGATTAGTGGATGAACAGATACATGATAAAGGAAACAGCAAATTGTTAGCAGTGATAGAACGCAGATGGTGAATATATGGGTATCCACTTTATAGTTCTTTCACCTTTTCTGTGTGCTTGAAAAATATTTATTAAAAAAAATTGAAAATAATTGTAATTACCTCTGGGGGAAATAAGAAAAGTAAATTTAAATTTTTTTTAGAAAAGAATTTTTTTTCCCAAGAAAAGCAGTTTTAACTTTAATAAATCAAAGAAATACTAAGGAACTTTACTTAAAACTTAAAGCCAGGAAACAGATTAGGATTCTGTTCAAATAGGTACATGAACCTATCAACAGCTCAAGACAAGACAAAAATTCTTAAAACTGGAAAACAAAGCCTAGAAGAAAATCAACAATGTTTTAAGTCAAAAGGCATAAAATGCTATTTCACCAATTCAGTCTCATGTACTTACCTTCTGTTGTAGTTCAATCTTCCTAGTTCAATTCTGGGATATAATATTCAACTCCAGACTTGTCCCTACGATTAAGTTGGCCATTTTCTTAGTTTTTGAACTTTCATTTCTGTGTGGCTGCATTTAATTTTCCTGGTATAGCACACCCTTGAGAACTTCTTGGAGATCTGGTGTTGGTAAATTCCTTCAGGTTTTGTTTATCTGAGAATGTTCTTGTCTTTTCTTCCCATACAAAGGATAATCTTGCCAGGTACAGTATTCTTGGTTGAAATTGCTTTTCCCATAACATTTTGAATATATTTTCTCATTCTTTCCTTGCTCACATTGTTTCTGCTGAGAGGTCCGCTATTGGCCTGATCGGATGCTCTGTGTAGGTAATTTACTGTTTCTCTCTTGCCAATCTTAGTATCTTGTCTTTGTCTGTGGTTTTGGTCAATTTGGCTATAATGTGTCTTGGAGAAGATCTTCTTGGGTTGATTCTATTTGGGGTCCTTTGTATTTCTTGGGACTGGATCTTTGAGTGCTTCTCTAGGTTTGGAAAGTTTTTTTGCAGGATTTCATGGAATAGATTATCAATGCCTTTATGAGTCTCTTCGCCTTCTGTGATACCAATTATCTGGATGTTTGGGCATTTGATGGTATCCAGTATTTCTCGTATACTATTCTCATTTTTTTGGGCAATCTTCTCAGTCTTTGTGGTGGATTTTTCTAGGCCAGCAATTTTTTCTTCTACATCTGAGATTCTATTTTCTATATGATCTAATCTGCTTTTAATACTTTCAAGGGAGATTTTGACTTCCTATATTATAGCCTTCATCTCTGACAGGTCCATTTGATTCTTTTTTAAAGTGTATAATTCCTTTTAGATCTTGCAAGAATTTCCTCACCTCCTGGAACTTGTCTGCCCCTTCTGCCTCTTCCACAGTTCATTGTCTCTCTTCTCTTCCATCTCTGTTAGCTTTGCCATTATGAATATTCTAATTCTTTATCAGACATTTCCATGATTTCCATTGAACTGTCTGTGGATGAAGAGGATATTCTTTTCCCTTGGAGAAGAAGTATTTTCTTGCTTTCTCATGTTTCTTGTGGCCCTGTGGTGATTTCTAGACATCTGATGGGCGGTGTGTTTCTTCCTAATTATTGAAGTTCAATCTGAGAGTTCAGGAGCATGCAGAAGGAGGTGATCTGATATCTCTTTGCCGTTCCATTTTTATCCCTTTGTGCAGCAGATTCAGTGGATATTGAGGAATATGTTAACCCTAATAGTATTTGGATCTTTGGCTATGGTTCCTTTAGATCCATCTAGAAACACAGAGAATGGAGATTGAGGAGCAGAGTGATGAGATAAAAGAAAAAGGAAAGGAAGCAGAAAGAGAGAAAAGAAAAACAAAGAAACAGAAAAAGGAAGAAAAAAAACTTACTTTTTTTTTTAAGGCAAAAAATAAAACTTACTAGTTCTCAGGAGCCATGGAGTAGTCTTCTGAAAGCCTGCCCCTTGCCTCTCCTGGGTGGGAGGGAGAAAGGGGATTGATTACTAGCAAGATAAAGGCAGGGCTGAAAGCCAAGAGAATACTGTACCTTAAAATTTTTTTAAAAAAGGAAAATTTGCAAAAAAAAAAAAAAATGAGAGGACAGAGACAGAGAAAAGGCTAGAGGGGCTCCCTACCACTTGAGTTTGCGGGCTGGAGGCTGAATTATCAGTAAAAAATCTTCATTTCTCTTTTTTCCCTGAAATCACTAGTTCTCGGGAGCCAGGAAGGAGTCTTCTCAATAAATTTAAATTTCTAAGCAATATTCTCTAAGAAATAATTATTTCCTGGCTGCATTATAAATTAATATGCATACTGAGATCAACAGTTGGCATAATGGCTATGTCGCTGGACTCCTATGTAGTCGACTGTGGTTTGAGTCCTAGGCCTGATGGCTTAAACTTACACTGCACACATGTGCGTGTGTGCCCAAGATCCCAAGAGGAGAATGGAGGAGAGGGGATTGTTGCATGGCCATCTCCCCCCAGAGATGATTTCTCACTTTCTGTCTCTCTGTCTCTGTCTTTCTGGCGAGTGTACGTGCCCTATAGCAAAAACCTCTCAAAAAGAAACAAAAAAAATTATAAATTAATATGCATATTGACCAGCTCAGAGATATAGTCCTTAATAGGGTAGCATTTGGTTGAAATTCACTGCAAGCTCATGTTTCTTTCTCTTACTCTCTCTAGCTATTTTATTTTCCTTTACCTTACAAAAGACAGTCGTTTCCTCACCATAAATATTATGAACAAGACTACTTCTGAAGTGTGGTTGATAGACGGCCTGAGCCCTTGGGACCCACCAGTACTTATTCAAAAGCGAATACCTGGGGTTCTTTACTATGTTGAACACAGAGATGATGAATTGTACATTCTCACTAATGTTGGAGAGCCAACAGAATTCAAGGTAATCCTGGATACATCTTGTCCCCATTCGATTTGTTAAGAAGTGTCACACGTTCAGCAATAGTATTTCTAACTCAAAGAGTTAATCAATGCTCCCATTTCTCTTCCTTCAGACCTAATACCTCTGCATATATTAATTGTGTCTGAAAGATTAGCTGACTATCAGCTAATTACTGGGTCTCACCACCTAACATACTAGCTTGGCCCCATTCCCATGGTGGTGATCATAAAATAATAATGAATAGTATGGTCTAGTTCCCAGTGTTTTTATCTCCAGATGCAGTAGTCTTTATGTTTTGTCACCTAAATCCCTTCCCCCTTTGTTCCACACAGCTAATGAGAACAGCCGCTGATACCCCTGCTATTATGAACTGGGATTTATTTTTCACAATGAAGAGAAATACCAAAGTTGTAGACTTTGACATGTTCAAGGATCATTGTGTTCTATTCCTGAAGCACAGCAACCTACTTTATGTTAATGTGATTGGTCTGGTTGATGATTCAGTTCGGTCTCTAAAGGTATGTTTAATTTTCAAAAGACTATAGTGACTAGTTAAAATTTACATACCGATTGGCTTAACTTTTGTTTTTAAATTATAACATGTACTTTTTTGTGTGTGTTTTAAGAGAGATTTTTGCTATAGGACATGGGCCCTTGCCAGAAAGACAGAGAGACAGAGAAACAAAAAGTGAGAAATCACCCCCCCCCCAGGGGGGATGGCCACACCTCAGTCCCTTCTCTTCCATTCTCCTCTCGGGATTTTGAGCATGCATGCACGTGTGCCTGGCGTGAATTTCAAGCTGCCAGGTCCAGGACTCACCCTGACCGACTATGTCAGAGTCCGGCAACATAACCATTACACCATCTGCTGGTCCCCAACAGTGCACTTTTTCTTAAAAGGAACTTAATTAGAATTTCGCATAGTTGCTCTATTAGGTTTAGGAGGTTTTTAATGCAGTTTTACTGGTATTACAGCATGGACTTCAGAAGTGGAATTAAGTGCCATTATATTTCTGTTAGAGATCTCTGTATATCCAATCTCTCTGCACCTTTTAGATACAGCATTAACTCTAGCCCTGTTGGCACCTTGTGCCTCGCCACTGACACTGCCCCCCCACCTCCATTCCCAGCAGGGACAGTAGTTGTGCCCACAATTTCTGTCACTGTATGCCTGTGTCTATATCATCTTCTCTTTGCCAGTTTTCCCCTCCTCTAGGGCAGAGGGAGGACATTGAACTTTGGTTTCTTTCACTATGGGGGTGGCAGTAGTCTCCACAGCAGCACAGAGGGGTGATGGTGGCATTTCTGCCTGACAGGCTAACTATTGGGTCATTGGAAAAGTCATGATACATTTTTGCATAAGAAAACCTGCATGACTTTTTAAATGACCCAATCATTGATAATGCCTGTTGTTTCCAGGAAAGATGATCTGCCTCCACAGGTGAACTTGCTGAGATTGGTGAATGACAACCATATCACTTTGTTTTAAAGAATTAACATTTGAGTTAAGGTAGCAGCCATCAAAGGAAAGAGAAAAGGTTCCATTTTGCTTCACGTGGAGTTACTAAGTCAATTGACCAACTCAAGTCAATTCACTAGCCTCTTTATCGAATGTATCTATGCAAAATGCTGTATTGAGCATTATGAAATGGAAGGATAGTATATAAAATATCTGGTCATAAAGAGGATACAGTTCTGGGACCAGCAGTTAGCGTAATGGCTATGTCACTGGACTCCCATGTAGTCCACCGCGGTTTGAGTCCCGGACCCGGTGGCTTAGACTTACGCCAGGTGCGTGTGCATGTGTGCCCAAGATCCCAAGAGGAGAATGGAGGAGAAGGGATTGCGGTGTGGCCATCCCCCCTGGGGGGTGATTTCTTGCTTTCTGTCTCTCTATCTCTCTCTGTCTTTCTGGCAAGCGCACGCGCCCTGTAGCAAAAACCTCTCCAAAAAAAGAGGATACAGTCTTGAAATTAGACTAACACACAGAGTTTAAGGTGAGTTTAAATAAATGTTATCAAAAACATAGCTTCAAGGAGAAGAGGTGGACTCAGGAAAGCTTTTGTAGAATAAGCTGAATTGTAGATCAGCCAAAAAGGGCAGATAGGATTTGAATAGGTGGGAAGGGGTGTGTGGTCTTCTAGGAAGAAAAAGCTGTCAAAATGAAGCTCTAAGCTGGAGAAGATCAAAAAATATTCAGAGAACTATGGATATTTTTATTTTATTGAAGCAAAATACATTTGGGGGGATGAAGCTATGATTTGATGTTTTTTAACTGTCATTATCAGAAACTCGTGCATAAATCATGAAGAAAAGAACATGTGACGTTTTTGAGTAGGGGAATAGGTTAAGGAGTAGAGCTGTACTTCATGAGATTATCTGGCAGCCATACAGGGCAGAATGAGGTAAAAAGAGATAAGAGCTAGCGAGACTAGGTTCAAGATTGTTGCACTGATATAAACATAAAATAAGGAGGGCCTAACCAACAGAATTTTCCCAGCTTCTCCCTAAAATTATACTGTCAGATATCATGTCTAGTCTCTTAGAAGGTAATATAGGAGTCCTATAACAAAAATGGTGATTGGCTTTTAAGGGTTTCTTACTACCTTTATCTGCTGGATTCAAAGCATTTCTTTCCACTTGCTAATTGATGCCAAATTCATACATCTTCGAGTGGGAAGCTGGCAGAGTGTCTATTCTTATTGCAGTCTATATGAATAAGGATGGGAGAGATTATTAATTTCTAGCAGTACATTTATTACATCAAAATTCTGTGTTGTAGAAATTAGGAATGTCAGGGACCAGCAGTTGGCGTAATGGCTATGTCACTGGACTACCATGTAGTCGACCATGGTTCAAATCCTGGACCTGGTGGCTTAGATGCATGCCCAAAATCCTGAGAGGAGAATGGAGGAGAAGGGATTGCAGCGTGGCCATCCCCCCTGGAGGGTGATTTCTCACTTTCTGTCTCTCTGTCTCTCTCTTTCTGGCGAGCGTACATGCCTTATAGCAAAAACCTCTTAAAAAAAGAAATTAGGGGGAACCAGCAGTTAGCGTAATGGCTATGTCGCTGGACTCCCATGTAGTAGACCGCGGTTCACGTCCCAGACCCAGTGGCTTAAAACTCAGCCGGGAGCGTGTGCGTGCGTGCCCAAGATCCCGAGAGGAGAATGGAGGAGAAGGGATTGCGGCGTGACCATCCCCCCTGGGGGGTGATTTCTCGCTTTCTGTCTCTCTCTCTCTCTCTCTCTGGCGAGCACACACGCCCTATAGTGAAAAACCTCCAAAAAAAAAAAAAGAAATTAGGAATGTCATCTAAATGTTACTCTGCTATAAGATTTGACTTCTAAATAAATACTGACCTTTTATCTTTCTTTTAAGTATTCTTATTTTAAAGATACATCTCAGTTTCCGTGGTTTTAAATTCCATTAGAACAAACACCATGTCTTTAATTTATTCTATATGCTCTGTCTCTTCATTTCTTCACCTTCCAAACTAGAGTACCCATTATGCCTTACATCATGTTCTAGGTCATCATCAAATGGAATGGAATGCCATTTTTGCATAGAAAAAATATGTCATGACTTTTCTGACAACCCAGTATATGAGAGGTTCTACTTACAAATAATTTTATAGATCAGGACGTTTTCATGAACCTAGACAAAGCAGACTGATATCCGTAAACAATGCCGTACAGAAAAAAGCAAAATCTTCAACTAGACCTTGAGTGCATTTTAAAGTATTTCTAAATGTAACATCTCTGCTTACTAGCCACTTGTCTAAAAGAACTTCTTAAATTCAATCTCAGCGATATAAATAAAAAATTCTTCATATATTTGCCTATTTTTAGTTGTCAGTATTTCTAGGGGCATTTTCACAAAGTTATTGTATCTTACTGGTTATGATACTAAATTTAAGAAAATTGGGAATATTTTTGCCATATGCTAACATTAATTTTACTTGGAGGAGATAGGATACCCAGGCCTGCTTTCTTTCAGCGTGTTGTGTCTTAATCATTCTTTCAATGAAATGACAGTAGTTTGCTGGTAGAATGCTAAAGCTGAACTTGCTTGTGTCAAGCATCAAAGGAATGTCTGCATATCACCAGCTTATTCTCAGCTTATTCTCGAGTGTGTCTGTCCGTAACAGACAAAAATATACAGCAGCCTTTCCTCCATAGGAAATGTGGCTTAAGGTATCTTTGAGGTAGCTACTTATTTCTGCATCAACTGGACAAACTTTTAAGAGTCCATAGCCTTGAAACAGTTTGCTATGATTAAAACTTTAACCTTGGTCCTATTTGTTTTATAAATGCACCCAAAAGATTTTTGGATTTTTAGAATCACTGAGCTTTACTAAGACAACTTACTGCATGAGGCACATGGAAACTGTTCTACTGTCTCAACAGCAAAGGACAGAAGACCTTGTGCTTCTAGGGGCCGGGGCACCTCTGAGCTCTGGTTATAGGATTTGCAGCAAAGCTGCTCTTCTGTCTGCTCACGTTTCAGTTTGCCCACTGGCAGTTCTACTAACAGGTTTTTCAACTTTCGTGTTGGTATTTTTCTCTCTAGTCATGGTTTACACTTAAATAGGCAAATTGTAAGTAATCCGTAATCTAAGAAGAATAAATCAGGAACTCTTGTGTCCTTATTAGTGTTTTACAAAAATAGATGATTTGGATTAAGTAGAAGGAATGTGCTCAGTAAATGTAAACTCTTGGCTGTGGTTGTGCAGTTTAAATGTGCACTGTCTGGCACACGGTCCCCTTTTTTCAGTAGTGCCCACCAGTGATGTTGCTGTGCCAAGCCCCTGATTTTCTAAGGAATTTGCTCTTTCTACAATTACTCAGGAAAAGAAAGGCAATTTTCTTTTAATGTTCTGACTCTCAGTACCATTTCTCACACTCTGTCAACCTGCTTACCAGAGTTCTTAAAAGGTGTAAGAGGGATGTTAGTACAAGGCTTGAAACTGGACCCTGCTGCTGTAAGAGAATAAATTTTGATTCCTTTCCTTTTTTCTTAAAGTTAAGAATCTGAAGCATAATAGCCATGAGTCTTTCAGACTCAGATATGCCAGGGAAGGTTTTGTTCTGCACAATGGTTAGTCCAGGAGGTAAAGTTAGAAACAAATTGTGAATGCTTTAGTGCTGCTGAGCCCGTTTGTTGTCCTAGAATAATAACTGTCATCACCGTGGCTGTCCAGGCAGCAGAGTAAGGACTGGTGAGTAAATTATGCAAAACGCACACATGTGAGGGAATTCACATTCTGTGAGACCAGAGATCATGGAGATGTCGCTGGGTTCCAGAATTACTATTGATTTGCTCTGAACCATTTTCTATTTGATTGCCCAAGTTTATACCCCAAAATAAACTTGTATGTTGAAGACAATATCGTGTAAATCTAGAATCATGGAAAACCACTTCCCTATCATTTTCCCGGGCATTAATGTAGTTTTGTTTGTGTTTACTTGAAATACTTGTTTGGAGCATACTCAGAAACTTAAGTAATAATAGCATCTAGATAAAGAGTAAAAGTAATTGTTTTGTTTCTTTAGCTTCCTCCTTGGGCCTGTGGATTCATAATGGATACAAATTCTGACCCAAAGAACTGCCCCTTTCAGCTTTGCTCTCCAATACGTCCCCCAAAATATTACACATATAAGTTTGCAGAGGGCAAACTGTTTGAGGAAACTGGGCATGAAGACCCAATCACAAAGACAAGTCGTGTTTTACGTCTAGAAGCCAAAAGCAAGGTAGGTCTTTGATCTTCATTTCCACTCCAATTACTGAGCATGCACTGTTTACCAAATACTCTGCAGTTGCTGTAGTTGCGTTCGCATGGATTCCTTACTCCACACACAATTCCCAGAGACCGTAGAAAGAAGATGGATTTTTTTGATGGTGGTGTTGTCATCAGAGGACACCTGCACTTTCCAGAGAGAGAAAGACAGAGAGTGAGAGCACCCCACCCCCCCATGGTGCGTAGTCATACCACAGTCTCTTCTCCATTTCTCCATCCTATCAGGATTTGGGGCATGTATGTACATGTGCCCAGCGTGTTTTTTAAGTCACTAGGGTCAGGATTCAAACTGGAATTAGTCACGTGAGAGCTGGCTCCCTTAACCACTAGGCTATGGGGCCAGCACTGGATTTTGTTTTTATACTTTAATATGTCTATTTATTTTAACATGGATTAGAATATTTAACTAGCATGTCAAGTCATTGATTTTACGTGCAGTTTTGTTTGAAGATTTGAAGAAAATATTAAATAGTCCAATTGAAATGCAGTTATGGCAAAACTGTGAAGGTGGTAAGCAGCTGATTTAGAGTAAACAAGACTAATAGAATCCCTACCCTCTTGGAACTTAAATCTAGCAGAGAAGATGATATATGTTGAAGAAGTAAGTACAGATGTACTGACTGCTACAAAGGAAAATGTACTGAGTACAGGGGAAACATTTGACAAGGGGATCTTCACCAGTCTGGAGAGATCAGGGAAGGCTTCTCTGAGGAAGTTATGTTGCAGGTACTGCCTTTAGGATGATTAAGAGTAAGCTAGAATGGTGGCCTGCAGTAGTATGGTGATTAAGGCACTGGACTTCTATATGGATGACTGTATTTTGAGTCCTGGACATGGTGGTTTGCTTTCTCACTTTTCCTCTCTCTCTCTGTTGAGTGCACATCCTCTATAGCAAATTTTAAAAATAATAATAAATAAAACTAAATTGATTCTTTTTTTTTTTTTTTTTTAAAAAGAGTAAACTAGAAAAGGGATTCCATTTTGTGTGGAAGCCTTGCATTTGTAGAGAAATTATACAGTTCAAGAAATATAAAGGAGGATAATGTGGCCAAAATATAGGATAAAAGAAGGAAGATTGGGGAGGAATGGAGAGAGGTGAGAGGTAGAAATGGAAATTTAAAATATCCATATTCCAGGTATTCTCAATGTACAGCATTTACACATCAGCACAAATAGGAAACGAATAACCATAGCTGAATTTTCATACCTTAGTCGGTAATACATTGGGTAATTTTACATGTGCTGACAAAGAATGAACGGTAATGTAGATGTCTTGTCCTTTTGAGTTTTTCTCTTTAGTCATTAATTTTCTTTTAATATCTTTAAGAAAATACTAATATTTTTATACTACAAAAACAGTAAATGCTTATTAGAATAAATGCAGAAATAAAGAATACGTAAAGTTTAAATGGCTGTTCCTCGATCCCAATTTGTTGCACCACTTGAAAATAGTCATTGTTAGCCATTTAGTGTAGCACCTTCCAGATTTGGGGGTGGGGTGGTCAACAAAATACACCTTTCAAGTTTAGTTTAGTTTTACAGACACAGAGTTATGTCAGTGTACCAAAATGTTGCAATTGCTTTATCCCAAATGGAAGGAACAGTTCTTGGAGAGCCGAGGATTCTTCACCTGTTAGGGGAAGAGGAAAGCAATTGAGTGGAAGCTGCGATACCTTACTGCAGGCATATCTGCACTGCTGAGAGAGTCTGGGCACTGGACTCCCACATGGCCAACCGTGATTCAAGTGCCAGACCTGGCAGCTTGCTTTCTCACTTACCCTCTCTATCACTCGGTCCCTCTCTGGTCAAATTCAAATAAATAAAGTTTAATAAAATAATTCTTTTAAACAAACAAAAAAGACTTCTTTATGGGTCCAGCAGATGGCATAATGGCTACATCGCTGGACGACCAATGGCTGGCTGCAATTCAAGTCCTGGAGGACCGGAGGCTTGAAAATCATGCTAGGCACGTTTGGGTGCATGCTCAAAATCTGGGAGGGAAATATGGGAAAAGTGACTGCAGCATGGCTATCCCCTGTGTGTGTGTGGGGGGGTGATTTCTCACTTTCTCAATCTTTCTTTTTCTCTCTCTGGCAAGCACATACACCCTAAGGCAGAAACCTCTTTAAAAAAAAAAAAAAAAGACTTCTTTACATGCATAGTTATTTTTCATTTCCAGGATGGGAAATTAGTGCCCATGACCGTTTTCCATAAAACGGACTCTGAAGACTTACAGAAGAAACCTCTCTTAGTACATGTATATGGTGCTTACGGAATGGATTTAAAAATGAATTTCAGACCTGAGAGGCGGGTATTGGTGGACGATGGATGGATATTAGCATATTGCCATGTCCGGTGAGTCATCACCTTTGACCTGGCACATGAATGCTGGAACACTGTATCAGACATCCTGATGACAATTTATCAGGGAAGGGAAGCTTATTTTCTCACTATGTTGTTGGATTTATGTATTGCTAAACCTATACTGGTGGAACTTGGTCCAGTAACAGATCAGTTGATCTCAAAACCAAAAGATGATAGATGTTTTTAGGATTTTAAAATAGATACACCATTCTCTATACTTACATGATACGTTTTTTGCATTTAATTTTCCTGAATTTAGTTTTTCCTAAAATAGCCTCTTAAAGTGGACTCTTTTTTTCCAGTGTGACTTCTATTTTATATTAGCTATGTTTAAGGTATATATATTATTTCGTTTCTGCTCAAAATCCTTCTCCACCTCCCTATTTCCAGAATGTTTTCGTCTGTTTTTGTTGCTAACTACTGAATACTGTACTGAGTAATTTATAAAGCATAGTTTATTTAGCTCACAGTTTTGTAGGTCTAAGGTCAAAGGACTGCATCTGGTGAGGATCTTGTCATTGGTGAGGACTCTGCAGAGTCCCAAGGTGACACAAGGCATCACATAGCAAGACACAGCAGGAGTGAGTGTGTACATGTCTGTGTCTCCAGGGCTGTGTCTGTCTCATTTCTTCTCATTTTAAACCCAGCAGTCCTTGAGTAGAGGGCACTGCCCTGATGACCCTATCTAATCCTAATCACATTACAGAGGTCCCACCTCTTAATCCTATAGTCAGGTTAAATTTCCACCCTCTCAATACTTTTATAATGCAACCACATTTCAACACATAAATGTTGGGAGGCACATTCAAACTCTACCGTAGAACAAAGTCCAGATTCCTCCGTGTGGTACTCCTACTGGTGTCATTTATCTCTGTGGTGGCATCATGTCCTTTCAAATGACATGCTATGTCTTGTGTCCTGATGTCTTCCCTTTCCTTACCCTTCTGGAAACTCATATCCTTTCATCACAACTCAGCAGAGGTATCTTAAGCATTCAGCACTCGTGGTCCTGGCTAGTATATATACCCCTAACTTGACAGATGGATATTCTAGCCTCTACTCCTGTGATACATTAGATACACTTGTTTTATAGCAGTGGCCACATTACTTGGTAACTTTTTGTTTCCTTTTCTCACAAAATTGCAGTCTTCTCCAGGGTAGTAGATCTTTGAATATTTCTATTTATTTATTTAGGTTTCTGTCATAGGACATGTGTGCTCTCCAGAGAGAAATGTTGGACACATTCAAAATCTATCATAGAACAAAGTCCAGATTCCTCAGTGTGGTACTCCTTCTGAGGGAAGGGGGAAAGTGAGAAATCACCCCCACGGGGGGTGGGGGGCTAGTCAGACCACAGCCCCTCTTCCATTGTCCTCTCAAGATTTTGGAGACACATACACACACACACACACACACACGTGCTCAGCATGATTTTTAAGCCCCCAGGTCCAGAACTGGAACCGTGGTCAACCATGTGCCTTAACCTCCATGCCACCTGCTGGCCCCTTATTCTTTTTAACTTTAGGGGCTGCACTTAGTACAGTCCTAGATAAATAGTAGGCAGACATGTAAAACGTTATTATTTAATTGTCTATCTCAGGGATTTGCAAACTTTGTCTCTAAAGAACTAGATAGTAAGCATTTTAAGTTTTCCAGGCCAAATATAGTCCCTGTTGCATATTCCTTCTCGCTGTTTATTGGTTTCTTGAAACCTTTAAAATGTGAAAACCATCCTTAACTCTAGGGCCATACAGAAACAGACCTCCAGGTATAGTTTGCTGATCCAGTGACATTATTCAAATGTTTGTTTGTTTTTTCCCACTGAAACTTTCTGCCCTTTAATTTCAGAGGTGGTGGTGAGGTAGGCCTCCAGTGGCACGCAGATGGCCGTCTAACTAAAAAACTCAATGGCCTTGCTGATTTAGAGGCTTGCATTAGGACGCTTCATGGCCAAGGCTTTTCTCAGCCAAGTTTAACAGCCCTGACTGCTTTCAGTGCTGGAGGGGTGCTTGTGGGAGCATTGTGCAATTCTAGTCCAGACCTCCTGAGAGCTGTGACTTTGGAGGTGAGTACACTCTGTCTACTATTTATAGAATGGGGGGGAGGCATAAAGCCCAAAGCTGCTCTAAGAAAAACTATTAGTTTTATCCTAGTCTATGAATGTGACAGAGCTTTTCAGTTCTAACGCAGAATTATAGCTCTAAGAGAACTTCTGACTGACTTGCTCCTCGCTGACAAGGTTCTTTCTCAGTTTTTAAGAGTTTTCTCTGAATGATGTCAATGGCTGTTCCTCCTGATCATTTTTCACTTGTAAGAACACTTAGAATGGGAAAAGACAGTGGGAAAAGACAGTGTTTGTGACTCAGTTCCAAGAAATCAATTGGCGCCTCCTGTGATTCTTGAATGCACTAGCCCTTGACTCCTGGTCAGATTTCCTACCTCCTCCCCACCAGCATTTCAGTCCTGCATTTAAGGGCTCTCTCCGTCTGGATATGCCATTCTTACTGGTCTTTTGGATGTAGTTTTCCTATACTGTAATGGAAATAGCTTGTTCTGAAATGCTCTTTAATCTTTTCTTTATGTTCAATGATAAAATTATACTATAGCAGTTGGTCTCACCTCCATCATTCTCCTACTTCCGGTTAGATACTCTGGAAAGTAATGACTGGGATGGAATAGAGTAAGATATTTTCCTTTTTGAGGTTGAAGGGTATATACACTGCGGGCTTGTACTAAGTTAAGTTGTATAAGTAAATGCCCTACATATGTAAATCTATTTTTTTAACAATAGAAATACTTAGTATGGAAGGGAGGGGAAGTCTATGCACAAAGTCAATATTTGTGCAGTATTACTTACAATATAAAGAAAATGCAACCAATTTTGATCTTTGGAAATTAGGAAGGAAATAATCAGAAATTTATATATAAGGATGTTTATCTCAGGTTGCTTATTACAGTAAAAAGTTGTACACCACCTAAATATCCAAAAATAAAGTATTCATGTATGAATCAAAGGTCTTCATTACAGTTGAAAACCATCTCTAAGAAGAAAGGGATGTAGGAAAGGGTATTGGGTAAGAGTATGTTCGAGACCACTGTTAGAGGCTTCACAGCCGGAACCATAGAATTGAGCCCAGTAGACTGTCACTACCCCCACTGCCGAACACAGAGCACTCACACTGCCAGTGCTGCTCTAGAAACTGGATATATAGCTGTGGCACTTTTGCCAGATCGCTACTTCTTTGGATCATCAACTTACCATTCAGAGTTTGGAAGACAGGTGTCTGATTGGGAGGCCCAAGTCATGTGGCTCCTCCCAAACTTCAGGGAGAGCTGGGAAAGGTACTCTCTTGCATTTAGTGTATCTACAGTGAGAGGCAGGCTCTGTCTGATCAGGTTGGGGATTTTCTAAATGCTGAAAAGAAGTTCAAATACTAGACAGTCAATAAGAATTACAGATGCTCACTATACTCAGTTAATTATTAAATTTTTAACACTGGGTTATTATTACCTCTAATGTAAAATGACTATCTGTTAAAGAAGTGTTTATTCATATATTGTTGGGAATTTTTTTTAAATTCTTAATTGTGGAAAAAATAACATCAAATTTATCATCTTAACCATGTTTAAGTGTACAAGTTCAGCAGTATTAAGTGCGTTCACAGTGTTGCATGGTCTCCACAACTCAATTTTCATCTTGCAGAATTGAAACTCTGTACCCATTAAAGAATTTTCCATTCTGCTCATACCCCAGCTCTGAAAACTACAAATTTTACTACTCTAGGTACCTCATATAAGCAGCACCATGTAGGATTTATCTCTTTGTGACTGGCTCATTTCACTTAGATTATATCCTTGAGGTCCCTCCATATTATAGAATACTTCAGAAGATCAGTCCTTTTGAAAGCTGAGTAATATTCCATTGTATGTATATACCACAAATTCGTGCTTATTTGTTTATCAGTTGATGGGTACTTGGGCTGCTTCCACCTTTTGGCTATTGTGGGAGATGCTACTGTGAATGTGAATATATAGATATCTCTTCAAGACTGCTTTTTTTTATGGTCTCCATTTTCTCTTCTTTTTTTATGTATCTTTTATTTCATTTTCTTTTATACATTCAGTCACATTATTTAGCTTACAAAGTAAATATCCCTACTTGTGAACATTTCTCCCTTGTTTAGTTAATGAAACTATAAAATTATCTTCAACAGATAATACCACATTTCTTTGTCCCATTAATGCTTTGCCTCTCTATTTTCCTTTTAAATGTCCTTCCTCAGACTCTAGTCTTTCACACATACTATATCAGGTATTCACATCCATTTACTCTGTTTCTATATCCTTCTGTCAATCAGTTTCTGTCATAGAGTGTGGACACTCAGTATATATTAAGTGGGGACATACAATGTCTTTTCTTCATAGCCTGGCTTGCTTCACTCAGCAGTAAATCTTCCATATTCTTCCACTTTCCGTCAAAAGCCACGGTCTTGTTGTTTATTGCTGAATAGTATTCCATAGAGTATATGTGCCAAAGTTTTTCAATCCATTCATCTATTCATGAGCATTTGGGTTGGTTCCATACCTTAGCAATTGTGAATTGTGCCTCAATAAACATCGATGTGCAAACACTTTCTGCTTTTAATTCTTTTGGGTGTATACATAGGAGTGGAATTCCTGGGTTATAAAGTAATTATAAGTTTAATTTTTTGAGGAGCTATCATGCTGTTTACCACAGCAGCTACACCCTTTTATATTTCAGCCAACAGTGCATGAGAGTTCTAGTTTCTTAGATCATCATCACTTCCTATTTTCTGAGTTTTTGTTTGTTTGTTTGTTTGTTTGTTTGTTTTAAATGTAATAGCCATTCTAGTGGGTGTGAGGCAGTAGCATCTATTACTTTTACATAGTAAAATGTATATCTTTTATGAATAAAAAGCACCAAACTAAAAATAAAAATTGGAAAATTGGAAAATTGGAAAATAAATCCTCTCTTGTTATATAAATATTATTTAAGGAGCCTGGATACTTTAAAAACTAGTTATAAATCACAGGCCCTGGTTACAGACTGAGTAGTTAGCCTGGCTCCTAGGAATCTACGTGACTTCTTGAGCTATGTTTTCCTGTGTTGGCTTATGTAAAATAGAATATTTTTCTGAAACTTGTTTTACCAGCTTCTGAGTTGAAGTTTCTTGGGCTTGTCTTTTCAGGCACCTTTTTTGGATGTTCTCAACACCATGATGGATACTACACTCCCTCTGACATTAGAAGAATTAGAAGAATGGGGGAACCCGTCATCTGATGAAAAACACAAGAACTACATAAAACGTTACTGTCCCTATCAAAATATTAAACCTCAGGTAGTGAAAGTTATGACAGTCACTTACTATCCTGAAGTATCAGAGAAGGTCGTCAAATGGATACTTCCTTGAGCTGAAGCAGGAATTAGTAATACTTTAGAGATATCTGTGGTTGTACTCATTTTTCAGCACCATGTCTGCTCAGGCTACATGTTTGTTTCTGTTTAATATAATATAGAGTAATCTAGAGTAATATAGAGTAATATAGAGCTATCGTGGCTTTATTGCTAAGTTAGGGAAGTTCATAGTCTCTTTAGTCAAGAAAAGGCTATTCCAGGTCAGTCATAGTCTAGTTCTGTAATACTGAGGCTCTCTCAATGAGTCCAAATGAGAAGAAACGTCTAGTATTTAGGGAGAAAAAAATTGGAGGTAATTATTTTTCATGATTTATAAGGTATAAAGAGACCATAAAGAATAATGTAAACTTTTTGTACATTGTTTTCCTTTAGCATTATCCCTCAATTCACATCACAGCATATGAAAACGATGAACGTGTACCTCTGAAAGGAATTGTAAACTATACCGAGAAGCTCAGGGAAGCCATTTCAGAGCATGCTAAGGACACAGGTGAAGGTAGGAGACCTACGAGCTGGCAACCAGGGAACGTGGCTAAATGAACTAGTGTCTTCGACACATTGCTCAGAGTGATACACTTCATGCTGTGGATTAAATCATCTGCACATGATTTAAGACAAATAAGTATTTTTCTATATTGATTACCCAGTTGAAGTATATGTAAGTAAGTACAACTGTCTCACCTCACCTCTTTTTCAAAGGACAGTATTAAAATAAGGTAGGCAGGACACAAAGAAAGTGAATGTAAATGTAAAAGGTAACTTGGAGATATACTGTCATACAGTCATTCATTCATGTCACAATATTTATTAAGCTATTATTCTTGGGAATCTCTAAAAGACATATTCTAAGGGTTTTACTGTTCCGTTTCAGTGCCCAAACTACCTATTTAACTTCCTTTAGATGTTTTTTTTTATTTCAGTAAATAAGAATTCTTCCCTTTTGCCTAGCAACTCCATGCCAAGACATTCTGGATTCAGGGTTAGATGGGACCCACATACAAGCCAGTCTCCATGTGTGCAGCTCCATTGCCCTCTCCCACCCCTTGCTGTAGTAGGTGCTTCCAGGGCACAAGACTCAGATTCCACAGGGCTGATGGACTCCCTTTGGGTCACATTCTCTCCATGTAACACCACAGTCTGTCCCATTCAGCTTCCTCAGCCACTTACACCTTCAGCCTTCCCCTGCTTCCCATATTTCAGAAATGTGTCTCCTGCTCTTTGCCCCTCCTAGTTCTTTGTGGGTGGTGATGGTGGGTTTTGCCTTTGTTCCTCTACTTTTATTTGAATAGAGTACTCAAAAGGAGAGGGGAGAAATGGCCCTCAGTCTTCCAAAGACCTTCTAATTGTTTACTGTGTTAACTCTTTCAGGCTATCAGACCCCCAATATTATTTTAGATATTCAGCCTGGAGGCAATCATGTGATTGAGGATTCTCACAAAAAGGTAGGTTACCAGGCTCCTCACAGTTGACAAATGTCCCAAATAGAGAGCCATTGTATTCAAGTTTTTAATGGTCACAGCAGGGTTTGTGACAGCTACTTCACAAATGTCTCAGTCTGTGACTGAGACTTAGGAGGGTCACTAAGACATTCAAGAGAAAGAGCTCTCTCTCCTACTTGGTAAGGGAGCTCTGTTGAGGAACGCAATTGGATCTTTTTTTTTTTTTTTTTTTTGGTGGGGGAGAAGTTTTTGCTATAGGCTGTGTGCTCCCCAGAAAGACGGAAAGGGACAGAGAGACAGAAAGCGAGAAATCACGCCCCTGGGGGGATGGCCACGTGCAATCCCTTCTCCATTCTCCCCTTGGGATCTTGGGAATGCACACACACACACCTGGCGAGAGTTTAAGCCACCAGGTCCAGTCCCACAATTCGATCTTAATTATTGGAAGTTTTCTGCCTATGTCCCAAATAAAAATACTATTGCTATGACTAGATGACTTGAGGGGTGGCTGAAAGTGGATAAACAAAGACTTAAAACACTAAATTTACCATGAAAGCCCTCTTATCTAACTTTCAAAATGTGTTTCTTTTAGATTACAGCCCAAATTAAATTCCTGTACGAGGAACTTGGACTTGACAGCACCAGTGTTTTCGAGGATCTTAAAAAGTACCTAAAATTCTGAAACTCTATATTCAACTGGGATTTGAAAACTTGCTGAAGTATTTCATAGTCTCACATCCAATTTTGTTAGCTAAAGCAAGATTTTCAAGTTATTAATTTTTTTTTCTAATTTGCTTTTATATCCAAGTTTTGCTTAGTCTACCTCTCATTTTCATTTACTGCCCTCTCCATTGGTGCACATGCCCGTTAGTCTAGGAACATTGTTTTTAAATCATGCTTCTCAGAAGGACACGGAGTAGGGAGCCAGAGGAGGACTGCTGATGGTAGAACTCTGGGCCTTCCTTTCAATCCGAACAATGTGGTTTTGTCTGTTTTACTGGGATTTTTTTGAATGGTTTATAAGTCCATGTCTTGCCTCTTTGTAGTGAACATTTTACACTGTGACAAGTGAGTCATACTCCAATTTTTGTGACTGCATTGTAGAGGATAAGATAACATTTTCACATTAAAATTCATTAGTTTTCTATTAATTTGGGGCCCAAGTTGCAAGTTCCTACAGTGGTAATTTTCTTTTTAACATTTTATTATTCTTTCAAAACATTTACGTTGAAGCTACAAAACTAAGAATTAATGACCATTCATGAAGTTTGCACCAACGTGAAGTTTGTGCAAGTGCTTACTATGTAGCAGAATTCCAGCATCTTCATCTCTTTCGTGACGTGCCTAACACAAACTGTACAATATGTTGAATGCGCTGGAATAGCATGCTCGGTTGGAAATAAAGCATTTGTCTCTGTAAGCTGTCTGGCGATGAAGGAGATTCTTCGTCTTGTGTTCAAGGATGAATCCTTCTCCCTTCTCCAGAAAAATGCCATTCGTATCAACTTCACTGCCTTTGTCAGAATTGGTACTTAATGTTATTCTCAGTCTCGCAGGAAGGCCTGAAATCATTTCCTGTAGATTTAGTAGTGTTGCTTGTCCAAAATTCAGAACCACAATAAAGATTCTGTCTATGCCATCCAGCCCCTCCTAGTTCTTTGTGGGTGGTGATGGTGGGTTTTGCCTTTGTTCCTCTACTTTTATTTGAATAGAGTACTCAAAAGGAGAGGGGAGAAATGGCCCTCAGTCTTCCAAAGACCTTCTAATTGTTTACTGTGTTAACTCTTTCAGGCTATCAGACCCCCAATATTATTTTAGATATTCAGCCTGGAGGCAATCATGTGATTGAGGATTCTCACAAAAAGGTAGGTTACCAGGCTCCTCACAGTTGACAAATGTCCCAAATAGAGAGCCATTGTATTCAAGTTTTTAATGGTCACAGCAGGGTTTGTGACAGCTACTTCACAAATGTCTCAGTCTGTGACTGAGACTTAGGAGGGTCACTAAGACATTCAAGAGAAAGAGCTCTCTCTCCTACTTGGTAAGGGAGCTCTGTTGAGGAACGCAATTGGATCTTTTTTTTTTTTTTTTTTTTTTGGGGGGGGAGAGTTTTTTTCTATTTTTTTGGTGGGGGAGAAGTTTTTGCTATAGGCTGTGTGCTCCCCAGAAAGACGGAAAGGGACAGAGAGACAGAAAGCGAGAAATCACGCCCCTGGGGGGATGGCCACGTGCAATCCCTTCTCCATTCTCCCCTTGGGATCTTGGGAATGCACACACACACACCTGGCGAGAGTTTAAGCCACCAGGTCCAGTCCCACAATTCGATCTTAATTATTGGAAGTTTTCTGCCTATGTCCCAAATAAAAATACTATTGCTATGACTAGATGACTTGAGGGGTGGCTGAAAGTGGATAAACAAAGACTTAAAACACTAAATTTACCATGAAAGCCCTCTTATCTAACTTTCAAAATGTGTTTCTTTTAGATTACAGCCCAAATTAAATTCCTGTACGAGGAACTTGGACTTGACAGCACCAGTGTTTTCGAGGATCTTAAAAAGTACCTAAAATTCTGAAACTCTATATTCAACTGGGATTTGAAAACTTGCTGAAGTATTTCATAGTCTCACATCCAATTTTGTTAGCTAAAGCAAGATTTTCAAGTTATTAATTTTTTTTTCTAATTTGCTTTTATATCCAAGTTTTGCTTAGTCTACCTCTCATTTTCATTTACTGCCCTCTCCATTGGTGCACATGCCCGTTAGTCTAGGAACATTGTTTTTAAATCATGCTTCTCAGAAGGACACGGAGTAGGGAGCCAGAGGAGGACTGCTGATGGTAGAACTCTGGGCCTTCCTTTCAATCCGAACAATGTGGTTTTGTCTGTTTTACTGGGATTTTTTTGAATGGTTTATAAGTCCATGTCTTGCCTCTTTGTAGTGAACATTTTACACTGTGACAAGTGAGTCATACTCCAATTTTTGTGACTGCATTGTAGAGGATAAGATAACATTTTCACATTAAAATTCATTAGTTTTCTATTAATTTGGGGCCCAAGTTGCAAGTTCCTACAGTGGTAATTTTCTTTTTAACATTTTATTATTCTTTCAAAACATTTACGTTGAAGCTACAAAACTAAGAATTAATGACCATTCATGAAGTTTGCACCAACGTGAAGTTTGTGCAAGTGCTTACTATGTAGCAGAATTCCAGCATCTTCATCTCTTTCGTGACGTGCCTAACACAAACTGTACAATATGTTGAATGCGCTGGAATAGCATGCTCGGTTGGAAATAAAGCATTTGTCTCTGTAAGCTGTCTGGCGATGAAGGAGATTCTTCGTCTTGTGTTCAAGGATGAATCCTTCTCCCTTCTCCAGAAAAATGCCATTCGTATCAACTTCACTGCCTTTGTCAGAATTGGTACTTAATGTTATTCTCAGTCTCGCAGGAAGGCCTGAAATCATTTCCTGTAGATTTAGTAGTGTTGCTTGTCCAAAATTCAGAACCACAATAAAGATTCTGTCTATGCCATCCAGCTCTCTGGTGTACACAACAGAGTGAGTGTCATTCTTCAAATGGCAAAACCAGCCCCTGCTGAGGAGCAGCTCATTGGCATGAAGTAGACTTAATTCTTGATATAACTTCAGAGCTGATCTGGGCTGAGTCTTTTGGACCTATTTTTTGAGAGAAAGTATTTACATAAATGTTTGATTATACTATTTTAAAAAATATCTTTAGTACCTTAAAAGGAATTATTTCTCAAAAAACCTTATTCCCACTTTGCCCCTTAAAATAGCTACCAGATTGTAAGCATTAATAAGTAGATAAGAATAGTTTATATAAAAATTGATAGAATTCAAATTTAGAATTTTATCTTGTCTGGGAGTCATTGTGGTATGCACAGTGCTCTGGTACATATTAGCCAGAAATACAGTAGAGACCAAATCTGACTCCACCTTAGGAATCTCTAAACATATCCATAAGTAAACTCATAGATATTTAACTAGCCTGAACCAGGTCTCACTTTGTACTATATTGTAACTGCCAAACACCTAGAAGAAAAGCAGCCACTGTGGCAGTGGACTGAGAATTTCTGATAAACTTGGTTTGTCTGTTCTCTTTTGTAGAGTACTGTGTAGACGGCTACTGTGCAAAGATGGGTCACTCTAACAGACATGCATTTCTTAAATAAATGGGACAGAAAGTGGCAAAAACAGAATCAAAGGAAAAAGCTATGTAAAGTTAATGTTTGAAACTAGGATGGCTTTTTTTAACCAGAAACTAGTATATGTCCATTAATGATGTTTCAAGTTTATTTTTCAGTTATATAAAAGTCCCTTTCACATTTCATGCACTTTCCCTTGTTATCATATAGCCAGTCTCTATAAATGTCCTTTTATTGGCAGAATTAATACTCTGCAGAGTGGTTATAGCATACTTAGCCATTCCCATTCAATTTAGCATTTGTGTTTCTAATATTTTCTTATATTTTATTCTTCTCACCCCATATTTCATATTATTTCTTTAGGATAGGTTATCAGAAAGACAATTACAATTATGGACACTTAAAACATATGCCAGATTATCTCACAAGAGCTGTTGCCAAATCAGTGATAATGTTCATTCATCGTACTCTTGCCAGCCATGTTTACTGGGGTGGTGATGGTTGTTATTGTTCTTTAGGGGTGGATGCCTAATAGGTGGTCTTCAATGAATATCTTATGGATGTTTGAAAAAAATGTTCATTCTCTGTTTATCAGGTACAAAAGTATTTATGGTACATGTAGATGACTTGTCAACATTGTGAACATTTCTGTACCCTTAGATAATGCATGAAAAGCACATAGTTTCTAGTGCTACTCACATAAGAAGTGCCCAGAAAGTGTTAGCTATTTTTTGTCTACTTGAATTATCATTTTCTAGAAGTATGTTGAAGTCTCTCCCTGTAATTGTGAATCTGTCAGTTTCTCTTTGCATTTCTCAGAGTACTTGTTTTATATATTTGAAGCTATTGTTAGATGCATAAAGCTTCATGGTTTTTAGTGTAATATTCTTTTATCAATTTTTGAAAATTGCCTTTGTCTCATATAATGCTTTTCATATTGAATTCTATTTTGTCTGCTATTAAATATTTACAAGCCTGCTTTTTGTAACTTTATTTCTTGACTAGGAAATTAATGCACACGGTATAAAATTTAATATATACAAGAATATATACAATAAGAGGACTGGCAGGTGGTGCAGTATTTAAGGTGCTGGATTCCTATAGGGCCTACTGCAGTTCAAGTCCCAGACCTGGTGGCTTGCTTTCTCTCTCTCTCTTTCGCATGAGCACACGTGCCCTGTAGCAAACTATAACATTGTTGGAAAAGTCATGACATATTTTTTGCACAGAAAATTGTATAAAAATACATCATGACTTTTCCAACAACCCAAGTGAAAAAAAAAGATAAAATAATAATAAAATTATTCTTTTTTTTAAAAGAAGAACATATACGTAATAAAAAGGTTTTTTTTAACATCATTCTTTAGCTTTCCAGTTCTGCTCCCAGAGGCAGGCCACTATTACTGTTTATTGTCTTTTCATTCTTATCACATGTGTGTTCTGTATTTATGCAAATATATGTAGACATTTTTTTTTCCTTTTTTTTTTTTTACACAAGTGGTAGCATGTTACCATCCTGTACTCTGTTTTTTTAATTTAGTACATGTAAAAAATAGTATCATATCGGGCCAGCCTTATGGTCTAGAGGTTAAGGGAACTACCGCATGGCTGACCATGGTTTGAATCCCAGCCACCCTAGTGGCTTAAAAAACATGCCAGGTGCATGTGTGTGCATGCCCAGAATCCCAACAGGATGGAGATATGGGGGAGAAGGGATTGCGACATGACCACACCCCATTCACAGATGCTTTCTCCCTCTCCTGACTCTTTGCCTCTGGCAAGTGAGCATGCCCTCAGCAAACAAAAAAAAAAAAAAGAAAAAAAAAATGGTCTCATAATAATGAGTATAGATCTTGCAGATTCTTTTCTATTAAGCCTATTATAGATTGAACAGGATTTCTATCAATAATACTTAAATATATTCTTGAGTCCAGAAGACTTGAGAAGTTACTTACATTTTAAAATATTAAAAACAATGCTGCAGTTGAGATTCTTGTGTATTCATCATTTGGCACATGTTCATGTATTCTTAGTTACAGATATCTAGGAAAGGAACTACTTGGTCAAAAGGTGTTTATTTTTTAGCTCAGCCATGGTAGCATCTACTGCTAAGAGGCTGCTACTTGGAGGCTGAGGCCTCATGGGAGACCCAGGTTCAGTTTCCCACCCAACCTAAGCAGTCCAGGTGTGTGCACCTATAAAGCCTAGCTAGCTGATAGGCCAGGGGAGGAGAATCCCAACCGGAAAGACTCTTAAAAATCAAGTGCCGTCTCTTTATGTCTTATAAATAAATAAACTTTAAAAAGTGGAGGTGTGTGTGTTTTTCCTTTTGGTTATAACAAGGCTATGAGATTTTTGTTTGCTTGCTATATATTGAGTTGTTGGAAAAGTCATAATGTGTTTTTCTTTGCAAATAGCGTCATGACTTTTATGACAACCCAGTATTTTAATTCTCTGCCTTTTGTTTTAGCTTTGTCTTTTTCTTCTTCCTCTTCATTGATAGAGTATGTGTGCACACGTGAAAGAAGAGGAGACAGAGATGAGCGCCCTCAGCAAGGTCTGGCATGCCGCGGTCCCCTTCCTTCTGTCCTCCAACTCATCAGATCGTGGGCATTTGTGTAAGTGCTTGATGTATTTCAGGCTGACCAGCCTACAGGTTTAAGCCATAGTCACCATGTGGGATCCAACTCCTGCCATACCATGTTACCACAATGCCACAGTTGGCCCTAGGTATGTCTCTCATGTCTAGATTTTCTGTAACCTCTGTTTTTGTCTTTGGTAAGTGAATTTAACCCATTTCTGATTACCATGTGTTTAGACATAATCCTAAAGCCTTATTTTATCTTTTATTTATATTAGGCTGTCAGAAAAGTTATGACATTTTTCTGGTTTTTGTATGCAAAAATGACTTTTCTGATGACCCAATAGTTGCACTGTCATTTTTTTCCTTTTAATTTTTCACTGGTTCAGTTGTTTGTGGAATTGTTTTCTAATGTTCTTAGAAAGCTGTACATTTATGTCTGTCTTTCAAATGGTTATTCTTAAAATTGTCAGGGCTTTTTTTTTTTTTTTTTTTTTTAAGTTTCCTTCTGTCATGAAAGAGAGAGACCGACACTTCTAGGGTCTTGCCTTGCCACCATCCTCTCCCCTCCCCCCGCCTTCAAGCCAGCCAGGATTATGGGCAACACCCATGTTCAGATCCACCTGAGATCTGAACCTGGGGCCTTCCCATATGGCTCCAGCATCACACAGCAGCACCCCACTTCCTGTGTCACCACAGCTGGACCGGTAATGACTATTTTAAAATATATTTTTCTCAGCATCTAGAACAATGCTTTTCAATAGAACTTTCTGCAAATGCTAGAAATAGTCTATATCTGTGCTAACACGGTAACCACTAGCTACTGAGCACTTGAAATGTAATTGTGACACAAGAATTTTCTATCCCATTTCATTTAATAGTCACAATGGTTAATGGCTACTGGACAGCTCAAATCTAGAGTTAATCTTTATTTATTCTCTGTACAAGACATAAACATGTCACTGTCACACACACACACACACACACACACACACACATACATCCTCTACAACTACTTCACATATAGAAATAAATCACTAAGAGTCTTGTTCTAGAATATTTTACATTATGCATCAATATTATGTGTCCTTGGGCTGGTGGATGGTGCAGAGATTAAGCACTGTGTGTAGAGACTATATCTCACATGACCGACTGAGGTTCAAATCCCAGCCCCAGCTAATTAAAAAAGGTGCCAGGAACATGTATACGTGTGTCATTTCTGAGAGAATTCCACAGTGAATTAGCCAGGAGACAGTGCCAGAGTTTGGTCTTTTTTGTTTTTGCTGTAGGGCACTTGTCCTCACCAGAGAGAGAGAAAGAGGGGAAGTGAGAAAGCACCTCCAAGGAGGGATGGCCACGCTACAATCCCTTCTCCATTCCCCTTTCAGGATTTTGGGCACACCTGCACACATGCCTGGCATGTTTTTCAAGCCACTGGGTCCAAGACTTGAATTACACAGTCAGCTATGTGGGATCCTACTGTCTTAACCACTGTGCTACCAGCTGGCCCAGTCTTTTCCTTCTTTCCTTGCCTCTGCCGCACTTGTGGGTATTTAATACTATTTCAGCTTTCTCTACTTGTTCCAGCCTGCATGTGATCACCGAGTAGGCCCTGGATTTTCTTTCCTGAGCAAATTCTGCTGCAGCCACTACAGCAGTTTAGAAAAGGCCTACGGTATTCCTACCTATACTTGTTAAAACCATTTTTTCCCTTGTGTGTTTAGCTCTAGTTTCTGTGCTCTTGTTTTTCTGCAATACTAATTTCATCTCCTGTCTTTTAGAAATTACTGAAATTCTCATCTCTTAATGGTGTCACTTGGGCCATTATAAATATATTTTATTATCTTAGGCATTGCCTAAGATTTAGGATTATGATCTAGCATCCCTCTTAGCATCACTTATGATCACTTTAAAAGATTTTGCTAATAGAAAATAAAATCATTGCTTAATTTTTATTTACATTTGTCCAACTTGCTTGTGTGCATTTTTATGTAGGATTTCTTATATACTGGACCCAAGTTGAACTACAGGAATGTTTTGGACATAATGAATATCAGTAGAGGCATTTGATCCAAAACACAAATGTTAAATACTTTTTTTTTTTTTTGCTTTTAATACTGACAAATACATAAAGCATAAATGAGGGCACTTTTAAAAGTTTGTGGATGGGGCTGGTAGGTAGCTTGGTGGTTAAGGGTGCTGGACTCCCACACAGCTGGCCACAGTTTGAGTCCCGGACCTGGTGGCTTGCTTTCTCACTTTCACACTCTCTCTCTCTCTCTCTGTCCTTCTCTGGTCAAGATTTTAAATAAATAAAGTTAATTTTTTTAAAAAATGTGTCAATGAAGCCTCATTGAGTTAAAAAAAATAGTTTGTGGAAGTAGAATTAAAATACAAGTATTAGAGTTCTCCACAGGAGCTGAGATCTAGTACTTTCAGGGAATAAGAGAAATGAAGATTTTCTGCTGAGAGGTCACCCTGGAGAGGCAAAAAGGACAGGCCTTCAGAAGAGTACTGAGTCCTCCATGGGACCTGAGATTAGTGAGTGCTTTCACACGGCCCACTCATTCACCATGCAGTTTTCTTTTTTTTTTTTTTTTTTCAAAAAATTGTTTTTTCTTTTTTTGTTTCTGTCTTTTTCCCCCCCTCTTTTTGTTTTTTTTCTTTTTCTGGGCACGCACGCACACGCGCCCGGCGTGAGTTTTAAGCCACCGGGTCCAGGACACGAACCGTGGTCGACTACTTGGGAGTCCAGGACATAGCCATTACGCTAACTCAGTTTTCATTTTTTTTAAATAAATAAATTTTTTTTGTTTTTGTTTTTGTTTTCTCTCTCTCTCTTTTTCTTATCTTTTTTCTTTTACCTCATCACTTTGCTGCTCAGCCTCCACGCACTGAATGTCTAGACAGGTCTAAGTAAAACATATCCATGCATCCGAATACTGTTATGTCAACATATTCCTCAATTCCTACTGAATCTACAGCACGAGGGAGAAAAACAGAATGGCAAAGAGTTTGCAGATCACCTCCTGCACACCTCTGATTGCTCAAGTTGACTTTCTAGAAATTAGGAAGAAATGAATAACCCATCAGATGCCTAGAAATCACCACAGAGGCATAAGGAATATGAGAAACCAAGAAAATCCCTCCCCCTATGGGAAAAGAATAACTCCTCTTCATCCACATATAGTACAATGGAACTCACAGAAATGTCTGATAAAGAATTTAGAATATTCATAGTAACAAAGCTAACAGAGATGGAAGAAAAAAGAGACAATGAACTCCAGAAGAAAAGAGCCAATGAGTTCCAGGAGGTGAGGAAGTTCTTGCAAGAGCTGAAAGAGAAAATATGCACCATAAAAAAGAATCAAATAGAACTGTTGGAGATGAAGGCTATGATACAGGAAGTCAAAATCTCCCTTGAAAATATTAAAAGCAGACTAGATCATACAGAAAATAAAATCTCAGATGTAGTAGACTGACTTGCTGGACTAGTAAAATCCTACATGAGAAAATAGCCCCTCAAAATTAGAATAATATACGAGAAATACTAGATACCATTAAACGTCCAAACATCCAAATAATCAGTATCCCAGAAGGTAAAGAGACTAATAAGGGTATTGATAATCTATTCCATGAAATCTTGCAAGAAAACTTTTCCAAACCTAGGAGGCATTCAAAGATTCAGACCCAAGAAATACAAAGGACCCCAAATAGGATCAACCCAAGAAAATCTTCTCCAAGACACATTATAGCCAGGTTGACCAAAACCACAAAGACAAGATACTAAGATTGGCAAGAGGGAAACATCAAGTTACCTACAAAGGATATCCCATCAGGCTAACAGCAGACCTTTCATCAGAAACAATGCAAGCAAGGAAAGAATTTCCAAACCTAGGAGGCATTCAAAGATTCAGACCCAAGAAATACAAAGGACCCCAAATAGGATCAACCCAAGAAAATCTTCTCCAAGACACATTATAGCCAGGTTGACCAAAACCACAAAGACAAGATACTAAGATTGGCAAGAGGGAAACATCAAGTTACCTACAAAGGATATCCCATCAGACTAACAGTGGACCTCTCATCTGAAACAATGCAAGCAAGAAAAGAATGGAAAATATATACTCAAATTGTTGAGTGAAAAACAATTTCAACCAAGAATACTATATCTGACAAGATTATCCTTCATATGGGAAGAAAACAAGAACATTCTCAGATAAACAAAACCTGAAAGAAATTACCAACACCAGACTACTTCTCTAAGAAATTCTGAAGGGAATGCTATCTCAGGAAAACTCAAGTCAGACACACAGAAATTAGAGCTCAAAAACAACTAAGAAAATGGCCAGTTTAATGGTAGAGACAAGTCCAGAGTTGAACATTATCTTCCAGAATTTAAACAGAAAGATTGAACCACAACAGAAGATAGATTAAGTACAAGTCTGAACCGGTAAAATAGAATTTTATGACTTTTGACTAAAATATTACTAATCTTCTTCTATGCTTTGTTTTCCAGAGTTAAGGAGTTTTGTCTTGAGTTGTGGACAGGTCCATGTACCTACTATTCAAACCGAATCCTAACCTGTTTCCTGGCTTTAAGTCTTAAGCAAAGTTCTCTTAACATTTTTTAAATTTTGATTTATTAAAGCTACAACTAACTTTCTTGAAATTAAAAAATATATTTAAGAAAAACTATTTAATCATCACAGTAAGCTATAAAGCCTCAACTAGGTGCTACTTTATAGTATATTCATTTTACTCACAATTTTAAGCCAGCTGAACTTGCTATTGGAAGTATTTAGATTAATTAAGATATTTTGTGAATCAATAAAATGTGGGGGGAAAATAGAAAAGAAATGGAAAGCAACTGCAGATACCAAAGACAGTGGAGGAGAGTGGGAAATAGGAAGACGTTCAGTGAAAACATGTAAAATAAATTAATAAAAAAACTATTTGCTGATCATGATGTTAAAAAAAATAAAATACAAGTATATTTTAGTGCAAAAAATTTCTGAAACCATTAATTCCTTTTTTATAATATGCATTTTTTCCATGTCTTTTTGAAGACCTCTTATATATCCCAGATGTCTCAGTGGTGCTTGGAGCAGGGAGTTTTAGAGAAGGGAGGTGTTATATGGCAGTGTATATCAAAATAATCCTGGGGGTGGTGAGAGGTGGAGTTCAGATTGCTTAGTAGATTAGCATGGGGGTAGCGATTGAGCTATAAATTTTTTAAGTATCCTCATATGATGGCAATAATTTGTCTTTTCCTTAATTAATTCAGGGGAAATTTTCAGTGAAATTCCACTAGTGCATGACACTAGTGTTTGATCACTATGGGAACAGGAAAAAGTATAGACAAAAGTCAAAGGGTAGCTACCTTAGGGGTTGTTCATGTCTTGGCGTCTTTAGTTAAACGGCCTTGCTGTCAAATCTGAGAGCAAAAATGATTGATCCTCCTGCCTGCCTTCTGTCTGCCCTCCCACATGCCTCCCTTTCTGTATTTTACAGGGAAGAAAGGAGAAAGTGTTAGCTGTACTAGGTAAAAAAAAGAAATATATATATATATATATATATACATATATATATATCTTTCATACTCAAAGGTCTTAGTAAAGGTCATTCCAATGAAGAGGTGAGTATCCTGTATGGTACTTCAGAGGGTAAACTTGTGTTTGAGTTTGTATTCTCACAAATACATGATTTGCACACTCCTTACAAATTAAAAACTACAAGGAAAATCTGATCATTTTGAAAGTATCACTTAAAGTTTTGGACACACTCAGGGTGAGTCTAAGTGGACAGTACAGAATCTCACTTCTTGCTTTTAGAATAAACATAAAAATTTCTTTGATACTTACATCAACATTCACAGTGTGGTAATCTGAGCTGGTAGGTAACCAGGTATGACTGCCTTCAGAAAAGCCAGCATTTGAACTATTGTCCCATTGCATTGGTGACTTTGAGAGAAGGGTATTCTACATCAAAAGACCAGAAAGAGAAAACAATGATTGGTTATTAAATGAAATATCCTGTGGTCCTGATTTACTTCACAATTATTTAATTCTCTATATTCTTAGCTACTGCCTGTATTTACTGGCATTCATGATGTAAAAGCCTTAACACTCAGTATACAAACCAGATTCGCACTTAAAATAGGAAAATAACATCTTGAGTTTGAATAGACTGTGCTAACAACTTTAAAACTTGTATGATATCTTTGCTCCTTTTCCCTAAAACTGAGTAATGTAGGATTGATTTCAAAATGTGCCGTTACCAACACAGGCTGCTTCATTCTACTGTGATACAGAGATGTTGGACTAAGGGACACTGCCGTGCACAAATGAGCCTAAAGTCTGTCCTGCTCTTTTATCCAGCCTGGTTCTTGCACATGAGTCCCACAAACACACATTGAGGAGCTAATAGACAGTTTCACCTTAACCCAATATTAGGGCAACGCTCTCATGCAGTTGAAAGCTAACCATACAGATGAACAATGCAAGATCAGCTACTTACCTAGCCGCCCACGATTGTGACGTATAGCTTCAAACAAAATCAAAATCAAAACCACTGAACTCTGAGGCTATGCACTGCACTGTATTGATAGGAAAGGAAGCGTCTTTATGCTACAGTCATGTGAGATCTAGCAAGACAAATAACTAAAGAATTAACTCCCTATCTCAGGTAGAGGGCAATAAATAATATTCCAAATATTCTGCTCAGTCAGCCATGTTTTCAATAAGCTCCTCAACCACCAAGAAAGCTGCAAATTCTTGCTAACAGTAAGACAAAAAAAAAAAAAAAAAAAAAAAAAAAAAAGGTAATTTAGCCATAATTTTCAGCAATGGAATAGAAATAGTAAGTTTTCAGATTGGCAGAGGACAAGTACTTGGTTTTACAACTGTGATATATAGTTAAACCATATTAAACTTACAGTGTCATAGCTCTCATTGAGATGTGTCGCTAAAATATTCCCCATTCCTATCTCCTCTCCGTAGTAAGTTATGGGAGTCCCAGGGAGTGTGAAAAGAAGCATGTTCATGATGTTGACGTATTGGCTCCCCGCACGAGAAGTCAGCCGGGCACTATCTGGTCCACCAATCTGAAAGGCAGGTATTTTTAAGAACACAGCTCTCTACACAGTTTTCTGGAAAATTTATCCTATTTTATGGCAAGTTTACCAGTCAGAAAAGCAAGGTAGCTGTAGATACATTGGTATCAGCAAGCCTGAATTTGAGTCCTAAGTCTGCTACTTAATCTGCAACTGACCGATTTATTGTCTTGTCCACTGATGACCTTAAGCAAATGGTGATAAAATTTAACTTCATGATGATACTGCAATAAAGTAAATTTTAGAGGGTTTATAATCATATTTCTCACATTTGGATAAGGATATTGACAGGAAAAGAAACAAAAATGTTTCCTCCATCCAGAACAGATAGAAGGGATAGGTGGGAAGAAGATTTCTGATGTATCTTTTTTTATAATTTTGACTTTTGAACACATGCTCTCTCCAAAGAGAGACAAGACAGGAGGGGTGGGCAAGGAAGAGTGGGAGGACAAGAAAGCATCCGCCTCATGGGAAATGATCATACTGTAATCTCTTCTCCCCCATGTCTTCCTCCTTTCAGAATTTTGGGCACACATACACGTGCACCTGGCGTGTTTCTTGAGCCACAGGATCTGAGACTCCAACCACATGATTAGCCATGTGGAATTCAGCTGCCTTAACCACGAAGCCATGGGTTGACCCTTGAATTACTTTTTAAAGTTTATTTATTTCTTCTGAGAGAGAGGGAGAGGAAGAGAAAGAGACAAGCACCCCTTCATGCTGTGATCCACCCCAGCCTCAACCAACCAGGTTGTCTTTTATACAAGAGAACCTTCTATCTTGTTTAAGCCACTGTTACTTTGGACATCTAAGCAACAGGGCTTATTTCTTTAATAATACAGATGTCTTGCTAAGGGGTCTAGTGGTCTCTTGCTAACTCAAACTCCAAGACAGAAATGTCAAAACAAGGGAAAGAACCTGAGGCATGTGGAAGTGAGAAGGTTGGTTTGTTACCACAAGTGGACCTCACTGTCTTGTTCTCAGAAGCAATGCTCCACCGTCCTCCAGGAATGTTAGGCTTTCTCGGTCAACAGGGAAGTTACATGGAGGCTCAGTTTTGGGGTTTTTTTGGAGAGATTTTCACTGTAGGGCGCGTGCGCTCGCCAGACAGACAGAGACATAGAGACAGAAAGCGAGAAATCACCCCTCAGGGGGGATGGTCACGCTGCAATCCCTTCTCCTCCATTCTCCTCTCGGGATCTTGGGCACGCACGCACACGCGCCCGGCGTGAGTTTTAAGCCACCGGGTCCAGGACACGAACCGCGGTCAACTACGTGGGAGTCCAGCGACATAGCCATTACGCTAACTGCTGGTTCCCTGGAGGCTCAGTTTTGAAGGTGCAGTGCACAAGAAGGAAGTCTCTTCCTCTCTGCAGTTTAAATGCTTCTCTCCTTCACTGTGCTCCACAACACAGTGTTTTGTTGCTGTTTTATGTGTGCCCCGAATTGCTGTGCTCTACTGCCACATCTGAAATACTCTTTCTTCCCACTAAGATCATATACCCTGGGGAGTGTGGGGAGGAATTAGGGTTTGCTCTTCACCCCCTACAAAACCTGAGTTCTAAGCATAGACAACACTTGTTAAACATTTCAATTGAGTGGACGGTGCACCCTTAATGACAAGAACCTGGTTAGATTCTAGAATAGGCCTGACACTTAAACAATCACCAAAAAAGATAGAGTTTACAATCACATAGAGAGGAAGGTCCATCTTATTTTAGTGGTAACCATCCAAACAAATGCATAGCACAGTATTTGCTGTGCTGGGAATGAGGATTTGCTTGGTTTGAATGTGGCCCACATAAATCATGTGTTGGAATGTGACTGTGAAAGTCTTAGAGGAAACTTGATCCAACTATGGAATTAAGATATGGAGCCTTTGAGAGACGATTAGGAACGGATAAGGTAATCATGGTGCATACTAGGGCAGGGGGGCTTATAAGGGGAGGGAATGAGACACATGGATACAGGTACATTGGCTCTGCTCAAGCTCCTGCCCTCCACCATGTTACACACTAGCAAGAAGACCCTTACCAGGTGAGGCCCCTGGACCTTAGATCCCTCCAAACCATGAGCTGAATAGACCTCTTTTTTTTTTAAACTAAATTACCAACACTTTCAATTCTTCTGTTAGCAACAGAACAGACTAGAACACTTACCATCCAATTAGGCCATTTTCCTTCTGGCATGTTTCCCATCCACGATGTGATAACCTCATACACACTGTTCCCAGAAAGTGTGTCTAGCTCAGCAAGGTAACTATTGAAGGGAAAATCAGCTTCCTGGATGAACGGCAGCCCGTAGTACATCATGGTCCTGTCAATAGTCTCTGAGTAGCTCTCAGTCCCCATGAACCTGTAACAATAGGCAGGGTTCCATGTCTTTAAAGCCTGTTGGAAGACTGGGAAGGGGCTATATAACTGCTTATAGTTAAATTACAAAATGTGGGGGCTTCTTGCACACTTGTTAACCATATAGGGCCAGCTAGGGCTTGCTAAAAAGCAAAGTCAAGTTAGATGTCCAAGAAATGCCACACGGGGTTTCCTGGCCAACTTCTGATTGTAATAAACCCAGAGACTAGCATAATACTAGATCACGCCCAAGAGTTAAGAAACACATTTGGCTCTTGGTTAATATTGTTCTCTTCTTTCTAAACCTGATTAAAACTCAGTAACATCCACCCAAACTTCCTTTAGCAATTCTTTTCACTCCATGTAGAATTTATAGTACATGTCTGCATCTAAGGCAAGGGATTTTCCAAAAAACACTTTACCTAGGGAACCAGCAGTTAGCGTAATGGCTATGTTGCTGGACTCCCACATAGTCGACCATGGTTTGAGTCCCGGACCCGGTGGCTTAAAACTCACGCTGGGCGTGTGTGCGTGTGTGCCCAAGATCCCGAGAGGAGAATGGAGAAGAAGGGATTGCGGCATGACCATCCCCCCTGGGGGGTGATTTCTCACTTTCTGTCTCTATGTCTCTCTGTCTGTCTGGCGAGCGCATGCGCCCTATAGCGAAAACCTCTCAAAAAAAAAAAAAAAAAAAAAAA